AATATCAGAAACCCTGGGCAGACGGAAATCCCAGAGCAGAGTCAGGGATGCTGGAACAGTCACATTGCTGGTGTGTATGGTGGACACACCTGGGAAAATCCCCATCAGGAAACAGCGTTCACTTACCCAGGGAGGTGCTGTCCACTCAGAGGGAGGGACAAGCTCCACCACAAAGGTCAGAGCCCTTTGCCCACCCTGTTTGGAAGACACATATAGGCTTTGCTGTTCATTAGAGCAGCAGTTCTCCTCCCCTGGTCGTGGGAAGGGCTAGAGGCCATCAGTATCTAACTGCTCCTGCCACCCTGGCAGTGTCCAGAGGGACTCAGCAATGGGTTCCTCTCACCCTCTGCACAGGCTTCCCAGCACAGCCCCCCTCTCTCCCCCCCAGGCACACCTAGCTCTTCTGCAGGCCTTCAACTGCAGAGGGGGGAAGGAGTGATCCCAGCCAGGGAAAAGAGCTCAGCCTGCCCCAGCTCACTCCTTGGGGTCCCTGCTGAGGGGCCAGATGAGCCATGAAGCAGCTGCAGAGGCACAACAGCCCAGATAAAGGGGGTGGTGAGGCGCCCAGCCTATCTGTGTGCTCCCGTTATCGCAGGCACCTTATCAGTGCCCTTAACCCAGGGCTCCTCACTGTCCCACTGAGGGCCCCACAGAGTCCACGCTGCACTTCGAGGCTCCCAGTTCACCCCCCAAACTCAAGCGCTGCCGGAAGAACAAGCCCATGAATGCAACCTTCCCCACGTGCAGAGGTCGGCACTATCCAAGAATCCAGAAAGGGGCCAGCAGGGCAAGAAGCCACCCTCCAGCCCTGTCAGCCACAGCGCTTGGGGGGCTCCTCTCCTTGGCAGTACAGCAGTTCAGGCAGATCCCCAGGAATGCACCCTGCCGAGTGGGTTTGGTGCGTCGGTGCGTCCCCTCGTCCCCACCCTCGAGTCATCCTTCAGGAGGAGCAGGGACGGTCACGCGCAGCAATGTCAAAGCTCCTCTCCATTTACCAGAGCACTGCTGCTTCAGCACTTTCCACAGGCTAATGGAGTGGCTCGGAGCTGCGAGAGGAGCGGGTCGATGGGGAGGCAGGGGGGAAGGAGAGAGTGGCTCCTGACTGCCCTGCTGTAGGTTAACCAGCTGCAACGGGAGATCAGCGGGAATTTCGGCAGTCGGGAGGTGGCTTACTTCCCCCTTCCCCTCAGTCTTCAAATCCTCCATTAACTTCTTACGCTAAGAGGGAGAGTGCAAAAGTTTAACGTGCTCCGACAAGTTTCCAGGAGGGTTTTTAAGCATCCTCTGCTCATTTTGCTATTAATTAGCCACGAGGAAGAGCCGGCACCGGGAGAGGCTCCGGCACGGACTGAGCGGCTCTCAGTGCTGCCCGCACACGCTCCAGCTCAAGCGCAGCTCAAACGCTCTCAGAGGGCCCCGAAAGAGGCACCAGAGAAACCCAGTTCTTGCAGCACTTCCCACAGCTCGCACTGCAACCTTTCAAGGGCACACCAGGTTTAACCCAGCAGCATCGCACTAACTCGCTCGAGTGGCCGAGAGCAGCTTACTCCATTTTGCAGCTGGTTTATTTTTATGACCAGGATTTCTGCCTCTCAGCATTGCAGTTTGAGAACTAGCATGTAATGTAACTGATACTCCCTGACCGACCCCCGTGAGCTGCAGGGTGTTTCTGTCACGAGGCTCCAGCACCAAGAGGACTCGCAGCCCTCATTCCCACAGAAGCTTGTGGAATACCTGGAAGGATGCTGTGCCTTGGTTTCCTTCTGCATTTAAAAACCAGAGCAGCAGCAGCAGTAGCACAGCCTGTGCAAGGTCACAGAGCAAGAAAGTTTGCAGAAGCTCTTGGTCTCAGCTCCGGCGCCACATGCCAGCCCCTCTCCATCTGCCAGGGAGGACAGCAAGCATCCGGCTTATCCAGATCGATAGGAATTGTGCCTGGAGTGTCCTGCCACTGAGGATGCAGTGCAAGACATGCAGCTTCTTTCTAATGGAGCAGAGCAGTCCCTGGAGACAGGGCAAAAGGGAAAAATCCCAAAATGGAAGTAGGAAAATGGGCCCCGCAAGCTTCGGTTTGCACTTTGTTCTCGTCCACTGGTTCAGTTTCAGGTCCTCCTGAAAATGAGGCATTGTCCCAAGGCATATTATGAAATTCCCAGACCACGTCATGCAAGGAGAACACAGAGTGTTTGTGAGGGGGACGGGTGGGAGAGAAATCCCAGACTATTCCAGGAAATGCAAGGAGACATCCCTGAAATGACTTCCCCTCTAGCCAGGAGGGGAAGAGAGGACCTCCCACCTCGCTCCCTGCACCCAGACAAAACTAGGTCAGTGACACAGCCCTGCTCGCAGCCAGAGCTCCTCTCCAGACACCAGGACACATGGAAGGGTCCAGCCAGGAGGGTGAAGGGGGGTATAACCTTTCCCCCTCCCACAGCCTGACACGTTTCCTGCAAGAGAGCCCAGCCAGCTCCCCGGCCCTGTTAAAAGAGGCAAGGCAGTTCCTCCTTTGCTTCCTCCCCGGCAACCACAACAGTGCCAGCTGGCTTGAATGAGAAAACACGTTTTGGCCTCTCCCTGGTCCTTTATCAGACAAAACAAAGGAAAAAAAACCCCACACCTTGCTTTCAGAGGCTTCCTCTGCCTCTTTACCAGTTTCTAAGGCAGAGGAACTGCTATACCTGACTGGCATCCCTGGAACACCATCAGAAAGAGGCACGAGGAGCTCAGCCCGGTCTTCAAAACCAAGGGCTTGAGGTACACCACCCTCAGACCACCTTCCCCCAAGTCGATGGGGGGCGGGGGGGGTGTCACATCCACCGCTTCGTGTCCCCAAACCAAAACACCTCCCTTCTAAAGAAAGCCTCCTCCCTCCCCAGCCCCTTCCTCCCTTGACCTTGACAGAGATGCGAGCCCCAGCGCGCACCCACCTGCCGGCAGCAGGGGAGGGGATGGCGTTTGGCACAACGCGGCCTGACCGGCCGGCCAAGATGGGGGGCAGCTCCCCCTTCCCCGGTGAACCGCGCCCACGGCCGTCCTCAGGTACCCGCGGAGGGAAGGGAAGCCGGGGGAAGGCTCCGGGGAGCCGGCACTCACCGCTGTGCGAGCTGAACCACCGCGGTGCGATGTGGAGGGGCAGCGCATCGGCCAGCGAGGCCCTGGCGCCCAGGTACAGCATCCCGTCTCTATGGTGACCGCCTCCCGTCTCCTGGAAACCGTTGCCATGGGCGTACGTGGAGTCGGAGCCCGGACCGCCGCCGCCGCCGCCCGGGGCCCGCTCGGCCTCCCCCGCCGCCCGCGCCGCCGCCGCGTACAGCCCGAAGGGGACGGCGCCGGCCGCCGCCGGGTCCATGCCCATCCCGGCCACCGAGCTGACGGAGCGGCTGCGCAGCCCCATCGCGCCGCCGCCGCCGCCCGCCCGGTAATGGCCGAAGGGGGGCGGCCCCCCCCCTCCGCCCGGCGGCGGCACGGCGCTGTCATCCGTCGACACCCCCGGGAAGGGGCCCCGCGAGCGGGTCGCCGTGCTCTGCTTGCCCCCCATGTGGGCGCCGCCGGGCCGCAGGGAGCCGAGCGACAGCCCCCCGCGGGGAACGGGGCCGCGCCGCCCCCGCTGGGAGGGCGAGAGGGGGGCGGAAGGAAGCGGGGGGGCGCGGGGAGCTACGGGCGAAAACCCATCCCCGCCCCAGGCATCCTCCCCCCGCCGGGCCCGCAGGGGCGAGGGCGCCCCGAGTCCGCCGCCGCCGCCGCCGTCACCCCCGGCGGAGGCCGCCGAGGGCTCCGGGGCCGCGGAGCGGGGAGGGAGCGGCGGGGGAAGGGGGTTGGGGGGGGGAAGGGGGTGGCCGCCGGCCGGGTCGCTCCGCCCGCCTCGCTGGTGCCCCGGGGCGAGGCCGGGAGCCGGGCGCGGATCAGCTGCGGCCCATGGGCGGCGGGGGCGGCGGGGGCGGCGCGCCCCGCTCCGCTGCGCTGCGCCGGGCACGGCCTCGCTGCGGCCGCCGCTGGAGCCGGGCGCCGCGCCGGAGACAATAGCGGCCGGCAGCACGCATGCTCCCGCCCCCGGCCCCCCCGGCCCGCCGCCCTTAACCCCTGCGCCGCCGCCGCCGCCGCCCGGCGCGCCGCTCCCCGCGCCCGCACAGCGGGAGCACCGCCGCCCCGCAGGGCGCTGCCCCTCGGAACGCAGCCCTCGACCCATCGCACACACACACACACACATCTCTCCCCGCGGCTGCGGCCGCTCGCGGACCGCCACGAACAGAGCCCCTCCGTGGGGCCGGTCCCGCACTCTTCTCCCCGCTCCGGGATGTGACACCCCCCCTACCCCCCCCCCCCCCGCGGGACGCGCGGTCCCGGTTCACCGGGCGGGGGCGGCGGAGGGGGGGGGGTGGTGATGTGCGGGGGTGAGCGGCGGGACTACATCTCCCGGCACCCCCCGCGCGGTGCCCCGCTGTGCGCAGGCGCGGCGCGGCCCGGCCCGGGCGGTGCAAGATGGCGGCGCGCTGGAGCAGCGAGAATGTGGTGGTGGAGTTCCGCGACGCGCAGGTCGGGGGGCCCGGGGCTGCCGCCTCACCCGGCCCGTGGCGAGCGCAGCGGGGGGAGGTCCCGGCCCGGCAGGGGCCTTTCGCCGGCGGTGTGGACGGGGCTGAGGCGGCCTGGCGCCGTTCGCGCGGAGATGACGCCTTCGTTCACGGCGCGCTTAGTTACTGATCTTAATAGGTCTCGTGTTGTTTATTTAAAGTGTATCGGCGGGCCTAGTAGAAGATGTTGCCACTTGCCCTGGAGGGGCCCAGGGCCGAGCTGGATGGGGCCCTGAGCAACCTGGTCCAGGGGGAGGTGTCCCTGCCCATGGAACTTCATGTTCTGTGACATGAAATTAACCGCGAAGGGGTTGGAACGAAGCGAGCTTTTAAGGTCCCTTCCAACGCAAATCATTCTATGGCTTTATGAGTTTTCCCTTGAGACCATTGCAGCTACTGTCTTATAAATTGCTAAGTGTTGCTCGATTAATAGGAAAAGTGAGTGATTTTTTTTTTTTTTTTTATAAATAGCAAAAAGGTCAGCTTTTGGGTTTGAAGCTGATGGCGACAGGAGAACTCCCGTAAGAGTTTGTTTATATGCTCCTAGAAGCTGTTCTTCCATCCCTGGAAGTGTCTCTGTCCAAGGCCAGGTTAGATGGGGCTTTGGAGCAACCTGGTCTGAAGGTGTCCCTGCCCATGGGAGGGAGTTGGAATTCAATGAGCTTCGTGGTGCCTTCCAGCCCAAACTATTCTATGATTCTATTCCAAGAAACATGGGGGTTTTTTTGAGACATTGGCAGTTGCTTAGCAAAGCTGGATACAGTGAACGAACCATGAACTGCTTCAGCAGGAAACCCAGAAAGATTAAAAAGTAGGTCTGCAAGCTGTTTCATCACCTCATTTGTCCTCTTGTGCTGGAGCAGTGACAGCTCTGCCTTCACCTCTGCAAAGAGGGGCAGTGAATCCTGTGTGCTGCATCCAGCCTACCCTCTGTAAGCTCACAGAGCTTTTCCACTTTTACACCTCAAAAGCTTTGTATCAGTTTGGTTGTGCTCCCCAAAGTGCTGAAGCAGCCTCATCTGCTACTGAAGGTCTGGCCTCAGGAAACCAGTAATGAGATATGAGGGTACCTCTTCCTAGATAACAGATCCAAGCTGCATCTGGCTCAGGAGATTCATGCCCTCGTGGTGTTATTGCTTTCTCATAACCACTGGTGTGTGGGAGCAGAGGGGACGGGTGTTTCCATCCCCCCCCTGCAGCAGTTGGTTTCAGTCTGCAGCCTTGACTGAAGGAGAGCACTGCTGTTTCCATCCCTGCAGCTCGCTCCAGTGTGATCCTTCTGGAGCCGTCCTGACCCGCCTGCTCTCCCTGGGAAACCAGAGAACTTCTGTGGCTGGGGCTGCCAGACTGCTGCTTCAGCCTAAACTCGTTTATATATTTGTGTCTGAGCTTTTTTCCAGGAGGCTGCAGGAACATTTTCGCAGGTGTGAAATCCAAGTTTTTGAGAAAGGGGAACACCTTTGCTTGAAATCGTGTACGGGGCTCGAGCTCTGCCTGTAGGCCACACTGTATCCAAAATCCCTACCCAAAAAGCAATTTAAATGGAAACAAGTCAAAAGAGTGGGCAGCTGTTAGGTTTACAGCCACTACATGTGTGCAAGCAGTGCAGTTGTCTTTGTTGTGGAGTGTGTCATGTGAAAACTGCAGCACCCAGGCTGTGACACTTCAGAGAATCCCTGGGTGCTTCGGGGCCGCTGCTGCCTGCCAGTGCCACCTCTCTCTGCAAGCTGGCAGAGGGGACAGTCCTCTCTACTCTTGTGACTTACACAGGACCCACAGGCTCTTCTCAGACTGCTCTAGCCGAGGGTAAAGCTCACCTCATCCAGCGGTGAAATGCAATTATTTGTAGCGACTCAGCGTGTGGATTGTAAGTTGGGTACACAGGGAACTGGTACTTCTTGCTGGGAGTTTGCAGCTCTTGAAAAAACAGCACAGCCGTGTCAAATTGGGTTAGTCTGTTGGCTTTGAGGTGGAGAGAATGAGGCAGGATTGAAAACTAATGGAAATTCAGACATGAAAAGGTGTTTTTCCTTGGCTTGCTTAGCAGAAATCAAGTGAAATGCCAAAGCAGATGTTTGAAGTTGGAGAAGATGCTGCCTGGGCTGTGGGCTCAGAGCAGGTTCTCAAATGTGCAGTGCTCCTGCGGTGCTTACTCCTGTCGTTGTTATTCATGAACAGCAATCCCAGCTATCCTCAGTGTTGTTTGGGGATAAAAACTGCTCTCAGGTTGGTTTGCTCAGTTTCCATTCCCCCCTTCTGGAGGGTTGTGCTGTGAAGGCTGGCAGGTCACTATGCCAAGCCTGAAATGGCAGCTGTTTGGCTTTTTTCTGCCTCTGTATAGGACTCTTGTATCGTAGGGAACTGTTTGTTGCTGTAAAATTACTTGGTTTGTGACCCACCAGGGTAGCAGCCTGCCATGTGAAGCTTTTTACTTCATTCTAATTGTTCATTACATTTGATGGTGTTTGGTGCCTGGAAAAAAGAAAAACAGTTTACCGGTGCTCATTATTGCAAACAATTTGTAAGGATTTATGAGATCCTGATGCCAGCAGCAGAAAAAATAAACTCACGCGAAATTATCAATCACTTCACGTTGACGTGGGTTTTTTTTTCTCTCTTGAGGAAAGATGGCCACAGCTGTGTGAAATACATCTCTTGACTAGCTCTTCATCACAGGAGAAAGTTCTGGTTCCACTAATGGCTTTGGTGATCCTTATTTTAATTCTGTAGAAGTGAAATGTGTTTCATCTGGGAAAAGTTCCTTCTCCTGCTGTATTTTTTTGTGTTTTTTTTTTTTTTTTTATGTAGATTTAGTAACCCACTGTGTTGTTTTGCAAGGTGCTGTGAAATCCAGAAAGTGGGAATTGTTTGTTGATCATTTAGATCATTTTAAAACTAGTTTCTTGTTTACAGCATTAATTTTAGGACTAAGGAAACCTTGCCAAGAAGACTGGATTTGCTACCTAGGAAAAAAGGGTCATTCCAGGAACAGCAAAAGTGGGCTCCAGCTGAAACTCTGCAGGCAATTGTAGCTCTTTGCCAGGTGGACTCTAGTGAAGAATGAGCCCATGATGCTGTTTTTCCCTCACCTGGGGTACCTGTGAGGAGAGGAAGGGGCCCTGGCTGAAAAATCTTGGGTTTTGTGATGGTTGCTTTACTGTCAAATCTGACTGAAATGGAGTGGGATTGCTGTGTTGCCTGTCAGGTTTTAGTGATGCTTGTAAGGAGGAACCGTGGGACATCCTGAAGTCTTGTTACATCCACGCTCAGAGCACTTAAAATCCAGAACAGCAGCAGGAGATACATCCTGAGCCTTCAGAGAGGCGGCTTTGAAGATGACAGCAGTTACTGTGAAGAATGTGGGGCACATTCTGATTTTGTACTGCGAATGCTAAAAACTGTATTGAAGTCGTATCTATGTTTATAGGCTGAACTGTTCCGCTTTCCAAGTAAAATTTTCCTTTTTCCTCTTGGCAATTAAAGGAGATGATGAGCCAATTCCATTCTAAACAAAGAGGGGGAGACAATATCCAAACAGTCTTTTTTTTTTTTCTTTTTTTTTCCTAATGGCCTTTAAGTTATCTCGTAGCCTTCTTTACATGCAATGCCAAAGTAAATTCTGATGCCTCTTGGCCATCTCCCATTTTTGGAGACCGGCCACACACAAATGGTTGCACTTCCCTCTCCCAGTACGTATATAATTAAATCTGACCCTGCAATGAAAGGGAGAGACTGAGAAAGTTCCTGAGCAGGAGCAGAGGCTGATTAATACAAATTATTAGAGCTGCTGATTGAAAGGCTGCAGCTGTGACTGCCATAGAGGGGAGAAGGGAGCGAGGTCTTGGTGCTTGTAGTGGTGCCCGCCAGGTCTTGTCCTTGGGTTACGCCAGCAGAGGTGTTTGCTCTGTGCTGTCCCACGTCCCAAACTCACCTGCTGCACCCTGTAATCCAACAGGAAGGGGGTGTAACTGAGAGGTGAGCTGGCAGGCTTTGCTGACCCCCCATCCCCTCCCCAAAGCCGTGTGTTTGAGCAGCCCCCCCTGACAGGTGTCGCTGAGCTGTGTCCTGTGTTTCTCCCCAACAGGCGACCGCGATGTCGGTGGATTGCCTGGGACAGCGCGCGGTGCTCTCGGGGTGAGTGTGACAGTCACTGCCACGGGGCAGCCTCCAGGCTGACCTCAGCTGGGGGGGGGCTGGGGCATTGCTGCAGAAAGCTGCTGCTGAATTCCGCTCAAGGCTCGATGGAAACGATTCTGGGTCACGTTCCCAATGGGATACAGAGTGGAGAGACAGCAACAGCAGCACAATAAAACACCCGTGTGGCTTTGCTGATACATGCTTTCCCAGATCTTCAAGAGTAGGGCCCTGAGGAGTTTGGTCTGGAAAGGCAGCCAAGATGTTCTTTGTGTTCCTTGCCTTGGAAGAATGGCCGGTGCTCAGAGCAGCTGTGTGCTCACTGCATGGCTGACATAGGCGGTGTGGTTAATTTTGCAGGGTTCAGTATGTTTTGATGGTGGTCTTCCACAGGTTTCAGCTGTGGAAGATCATTTCAACAAGCAGTTTCTCTTCCTTGTAAGATGAATCACACTGGATGCTACTTTGCTTTGCGGGGAGTTGGCCACATCCAGCAGGATGTATGAGCTCAGGTGTGCCACGATGCAGAGTTATTTCTGCTGCATGTAGAGTTAGTTAGCTCAGGTAAGGAATGGAGCCAGATCAGTGCAGGACTGTGTCTGCCCACATTAACGAGCTGCTGCAGCTGAACAGGAGCTCTGTGCAGGTGTCCTTGTACTTCCTGCAGAACCAAGCCCCAAAACTGTGGTGTGGAAAGACACACCCACATAGAATCATCATCTTATGTTTCTCAAGGCTCATTAACTCTTGCTCAGACCAGCCCCTCCAGGCTGAAGCTGCTGTGTTGCACTCCCAGCCCTGTGCCACCTCAGCTTTGTTGCTGCAGAGTTAGGCCAGAGAAGCCTATTTGGATGTGTTTGCACCATTTTCCAGCTCTTCCCTTTGTGTCCTAGTTATCTGGGATTTTCTGTGGTCTGAGCTATCCATTGCATTTGCATATCCTGTCTAATTTCAATGTTTTCTCCCTTTTGGGTGGTTGTTTTTGGTTTGGTTTTTTTTTTGGTAGCCATTTCTGAAGTATGTGGTCAAACGTGCCATTCTCAGGAGCAGTGTTTTCACCTGCCTTGTGAAATGCTTCTCTTCTTTTGATTGTTGTGCCTGGAGACACAGGGCTGGGAGCTCCACGTGGGCGTGGGGTTTGGAGCCCAGTCCCGTGAGCTGCAGCCCCTCTGTGTCTGTGTGTGTGTCCTGCAGCCGCCGCTTCCTCTACATCGTCAACCTGGATGCCCCAAACGAGGGTCACCGGAAGATCTCCCGCCAGAGCAAGTGGGACATTGGGGCAGTGCAGTGGAACCCACACGACAGCTACGCCTACTACTTTGCAGCCTCGGTAAGTTCACTCATTTGAAAGCTCTCTCCTGCCCTGGCCTTTCCTGGGGGAGCTGCTGCAGAGCTGGAGGGCTCTGTGGGGCTGGCACAGGCACCCTTCTACGAGTCACAGTGCAAGGTCAAGGCCTAAGTGATTTACTGCCAACTTGGTTGTTGTTTACAAAACACCTTGGCAAATAAACCAGGCATCCAAATGGTCCTTTTCTGGAGGGAAGAGGGGATGTGCTCCCTTTCTACCTTCCCTTCTGTTATGAAACCTGTGCGCTTCTTGAATTTCTTGCTCTGTGCTGTTCTGTTTCACCTCCCTGCCTTGCTGGTGGGCTGTGGTGCACCAGGCAGTCTGTAAATAGCACGAGTCAGTAGTGGCTCGCTGCTGTAGCAGTTGGGGTTTGCAGCTGGGCACGGACTGGATCGGTGATGAGCTCTGATTCCGTGTGCGGAGAGGTAAAAATGGGCTGGGCTGAAGAAGCAGGAGTGGCCATGTGAGGCTGAGTGCAGTGTTTGGCTCTGGTCTGTGCTCAGGCTGTCATGCTCTGCAGGTTGTTCACCCAGAGCCCCGAGATCTGCTGGCAGCAGTGTCACCATCAACCGCAGCACCAGCTGGGCACAGCCTGTTCTCAGGGCGAGCTGCCTTTTCTGCCTGTTGTGTCCTCTTCTGTGGCCTGAGACTCCTGGAACAGCTAGGGATGGAGAGGGGTTTTTTTAGAGAATATTTAGTTGAAGGTGATTTTCTGGGATTTTTGTTCCTTTTGCTCCCTGGACTGGCTATGATTGTAATTAAAGGCAGTTTTAAAAAGTGCTGTCAGGTGGGAGTCTCTGCCTGCTTGCTCTCTGACATTCCCCAGCCTTCCTCCTCCCAGCTCTGGCACGTGACTGATATCTTACAGGTGCCTTCAGCAGTGGTCTACTCCTGAACAGAGAGTTAGTAAAACGGGCAGAAAAGTGTCCTTTAGTGCCACTTCTGGATGCAGTCTGTGGAAATGAAAAACAAGTAAGGAAATGCACTGGGCAAGCCACAGGTGGAGCAGGAAAGCTGCTTCTCAAGCACACTGTGAAGACAATATCCAGTGATTGGTTCATGCTGATCTGAGCAGGACCCTGCTGCAAAGGGCAGCTGTGCCCATCTCACCCGCCTGAGCCCTCCTGTCTTGCTGCTCTGGGCAAACACAGGGACCCATCTTGTCCCAGACTGAAACAAGGCATAGCTGGCATCAAACCTTGCTGCTCCTGTTTATAAACAAACATGCTAAGATGCTCTGGGCATTTAGATGTAGCTGCTGACACACATCAGGTGAGGAATCCCCAAGATGAGATCGGGCATCTTTTCCAGTTTGGGTCAGAAATGCTGCCTTTCCAGCCATCTCACCCGCCGTGTTGTAGACAGCCCCAGGGTCCTATCCCTCTGCATCCCTGGGGGTGGAAAGGGAGTGTGAAAGGCCAACTGCCCTGTTTGCCAGCAACCTCATCTGGTTTGCAGTCCTGTCCTGTTAATTGGACGTGGTGCAGGCAGAGGGGAATCTGTCCTTGTGTTTCGATAAGACCTTCTGATTTGTTTAGCTCTTTGCAGAGGAGCTGGAGCATGTCCTTTTGCTGTGCTTGGCTGTGTCTGCCCTCTGGCTCAGGCATGTTTCTGGGGACTCCTAAGCTGTTGTTCCAGAAATGCTGTTGTTTTCAATCCTAGATGCTTGTTATTTCTTTTGTGTGGCCGCAGATGCTTGAACAAGGGGCTGATGAAATCATTGGAAGTGAATACTGATACTTACCACAAAAAGCAGAGTTTTTTGAGAAAATGCTCCTGTTGGGAGGAGCGGCCTCTCTGGCGATCCTTATCTTGTACCTTATCTCTGGAGTCCTGGGTAAATCCCGTTGGGTAATTTTCACTCTACACCCTTAAATCCTTCTGTCAATGAGAAGCCTGAAAAAAGTTTTTCTTGCCCCAAGCTCCTGTGCAGCCCTGCTGGGATGGGTTAGAGAAATGCCATGTATTATTGCTGAGCTGGGAGGAGACCTTCCCTTTAAGGGAAGGCTGTAGTGTTTTATCTGCTTGCAACTTGGAGTTCACATGGAGCAGCTTAGGGCTAGGAGGAAAATCCACCATCACAAAGAAGAACTGCCGCAAAAATTGTAACAGTTGGACTAGATGTTAGAGGTCTTTTCCAACCTAAATAATTCCGTGTTTTTATGAAGTCTCTTATCTATATATTTTTTCTTATCTGCCTGCAAGTCTGAAAACAAGGGGCTAATGATCAATATTTGAGGTTGTGTTCCCTCTGGTTTTTGCAAAATCAACAGGAATTTCCAGTCATTGCCCAAGACCCACTGTGGTTCATGCTATATATGCACCCAAAAAGGCAGTTCCTGCCCTAGAAAGACTGGAGTTGGCTGGGACTGAACTGAACCTTGATTGAGAGAGAACATGAACTTTACAGCACAATGACTGGTTTCAAGTAACTTTCTGTGTGGCTGCATTTGGGCAAGGCTGGAATGAGTGAAGAAACCCTAAATAACGTTGGCATTGATACATCTGTTTTGCCTCAGTGGTTTACAGTTAGTGATAAGCACTTAAAGCTTTTCTCCTGGGCTGGCAAGGATGGGAGTCCCCTTGAGGAGGTGTCCTTGAATCCATTAAACGATATTGTTTGTGTTTGGCAGTGGCTGTGATTATCCCAGAAGGGAATTGAGAGAGAGCTGAGGAGGACTAGTGGTAATCTGGCATCCCCCTCACTGAAAACTCCAGTTGAATCTGAACAGGCTGGCAGGGTATTCCTGCAGAGAGAATTTGGCTGCCTGTTGCTTGCAGTTACAGCATGTTGTTGGGAAATAAAAGCTCCCAGAACAGAATTCGTGAAAACATTTTGCAATGTGATATTTTTTTTTTTTCTCCCGTTCCAGTTTATCTCCAGTTTTAAGTGGGTGTAATTAAAGTGTGAGCTTTTGAGACTCCTTGCAGCCTATGGTTTCATCTTTGCTTTCCTGCTTTGGGCAAGGACTTTGCTAATCTCAGGGTGACTCGTTGTTAAATGAGATTGCTCAAAGTGAAGGGAACCTGGTCCTAACACACAGATCCCTCTCCTACCTTGTTGGCCTGAGAGTCTCTCCTTTCTTCCATCTCATTTCAGAGCAATCAGCGAGTTGACCTGTATAAGTGGAAGGAAGGAAATGGGGAGGTTTGCACATCGCTGCAAGGACACACACGTGTGATCAGGTGAGGAGCAGGTGATGCTGTGGGCTGCAGGATGGAGAATGTGCATGGTTTCATAGAAGCTGAATGTTTCAGTCCTGGCCCTGCACAGGCTCTGTTCTGAGCTTGGTTTTACTCACTTTTCTAGGCTGGAGTGCCTTCTCATTTGGTGATGACATTGTGTGTGAAGCGGCTCAGCCCCTCATGGCTCCCCTGCTGTATCAGCTTAGCCCTTGATGGCTTGAGTGTCATTGCCTTAGGCTGCTGTCCTTGTAATGAGCAGCAGCCATCATCTGAAAAACAGATAGCAGTATGTTTATTAAATTGAATCCCAGCTGTGTTTCTGTGTGATACCAGCTTAATTAAAGCAGGTAATCCCAAAGACCAAGTTTAAAGAGTGTTACAGTGGTGCAGGGGAGATTTCTGCCTCTATTCCAAGGTTGTATTTCAGTGATGGGCTGGAAATGCAGCTGAAAGACTGTTTTTACTCCCGCTCCTGACTATGGAAAGTATTTGCAGCCCTTCAAATGGCAGTTGTTTGCACTGACTGGAGGCTTTTTGTGTCCGAGGTGCACTTGGTGTTCCCAACAGGGAGGCATCCCAGAGGGAGGGGTTGATGCCAAGGATGTGTGGTAACTGGGAGCTCACTGAGACAGTGTCCCTTTGCCTGTGGAGGAAAGAGCACACACAGGATAGCTGTAAAGTTCAGGACTGGGAGAATGCTGCACTGGAATTTACTTAGAAGCATTTCATTGCTTCTTGGAATTTACTTAAAGAAATTATTAAGATCTTGCTTTTTCCTTAAAAAGTTTCAGCAGATGTCGTGGAGTTGCTGTGAATTTGTCAGAGGATGTTCTGGGGGCTTGTGAGAGGCTGATGCAAAATGGGTGTGCTTTGCTTTATCGATCTCCTGTGGTTTTGCCTTTGCAGCGACCTGGACTGGGCAGTGTTCGAGCCAGACCTGCTGGTCACCAGTTCTGTGGACACATACATCTACATCTGGGACATCAAGTACGAACCAGTTTGTTTCTGCACTGCAGGGAAACTGTTGGACTCCTTTCCATACTGATTCCTGGTGCTTTCTATCATGAGTAATTTCAGAGTAGCAGGTATTTCCAGCTATATATCCAAACCCCGCCAGTACTTGGACCCCATAATTTACACCTGAGGAGCAAGGAGCTGGCACTGGCACTGCTGGGTTCTCTTGCTGGCTGCACGACTCTTTGTGACCCCCGGCAAGTCACTTTGTTCCTCTCTGCCTCCCTTGCTCAGTTAAAATAGGAGGATAATTATATAACCCCTCTGCACCAGGCTACCCTGAGGCTTGTTTAGCTCCTATGAAGCACTCAGATCCTTGGTTAAATGGTGCTTGAGGATGACAATATATTATTAATGTGTAATTAAAAGACACAGAGAGACAATAACTGCTGGTTGTGTTTTCCTGTGACGCTATCTTAGTGCCAGCTAAAAAAGAGAGGTCTCTGAAGGTTGTTATCAGAAATCCTCCTTTAAAACTCTATTGTGCCCTTCCATTGTTGTGTGTCTGCCTGTGCCACTTGTCCAGAAAAGCTTCCCTAGGCAGGCTCTGATGAGTCTCTACATTCCACTTGTGCTGGGAAGGGCTCTGAGCTTGCAGGGGCACTGAGGTGCTGGTGCTGCTGGCCTGCAGCAAATAACCATCCTACAGAAGTGACTGTCTCTGATGGCACCCCAGGCAGGTAGCCCTGCAGTAAGGGCAATTGGAAACTCCCCACTTAATTTTTCATACAAAGTAACTTTTGGATTAGGCCGAAATTCTTAGAGGGAGAGGTGCAGTCCATTCCAGGAAATGTTCGGCTTTTCAGCAAACAGAAAAATCTGAAGGCAAGATTCATTTTCACTGTCACTTTTCGTGAAAGAGCAGGTGAATTCCTGAGGAGCAAGATCAGGAACTGAATTACTGCCTTCATCCATGTCCCGGCTGCTGGGAGTTGTTACGGTGCCACACCGGCTTCTGCCACTGCAGAATTCAGTCTGCACACAGCTGGGCTTATTTCCCACTAATTTTGTTATTTTATGCTAGACATGAAGGTTTTTTGCTCTGGAGTCACTGCTCTGTCTGCCTCGAATTAGGGTCTGCAGAGGACTGACAAACACATCAGTGGCTTTTGTCAAGGATTTCCACAGCTCTGTTTGTTCCTTTTAATCCTCCTGGGAAAGGCTGTTTTGTTGCTTCCTGCAGCAATGATTTGTGAACCCAGTTCCCTGGCCTACCCAGTTGCAACATGCCACCCTTTGCACGTGTTTCTTCTCCCTCCATTCCACTCCAACTCTGTCCTATGTCCTAAACTTCCTGCTGTGTGTGGTGGCAGGGCAGGATCATAGATTGGTTGGGTTTGGAAGGGACCTTAAAGGTCATCTAGTTCCATCACCCTGGCAGGAGCAGGGACACCTTCCACTAGATGAGGTTGGTCAGTGCCCCATCCAGCCTGGCTCTGAATGCTTCCAGGGTGGCTGTTGTCATCTCCATCTGGTCCCCTTTATTCTGTTTAACGCTGGTGTATTTTGGTAATTAGAAGGCACGTTCGGCCCCAAGGCAGCAATAAGTTAGTCCTGGAACATGAAGGAGCTCAGGGGGGAGGCTGGACTGTGCTGTGGGTACTCACATTAGCCATGCTGTGTTTCAGAGACACCAGGAAGCCCACGGTCTCCCTCTCTGCAGTCGGTAAGTTTGGCATCTACGTGTGCTGTAGGCATTAAACAACCTCATTGGTGCATGCCCCTGCTTGTCATTCCTCCACCTCTTCCTGCCCCAAGGCTGGTACAGAAGTGCCACCATGTGTGATTGTCCCATGCAGGAGCAGCCTGAGAGGCTCCAGTTCACAACTCCTTTTAGGGGATCAGAATTCAGAAAAGATGGGGAGCCCCTTGGAGGTTCCCAGGCATGGAGAGAGTTGTACTCGGACTGACATTGGTGAACAGCCACATGGAGCTTCCTGCCTGCTTAACCCCCCTGCTGCTCTGCTTGTCCTGGGTTGCCTGCCTGCGTTTTCCTCATGTCCTTTTGTGTTTGATTGAATCAGATTGAGAAGCTAAACCGCACCCCAGGCAGCGCCAGCCTGTGCCCTGTTTAAGGGAGGGGCTGGGCACATCAGCTGTATCCGCTCCCCTGGGGCACCTGCGGCCTGCAGGGAGCTGCTTGGTGACACAAAGTGCTCTCTTGGGGCCGTGCTTGCTCTGAAACAGCATTTGTCACGGCTGCTGGCAGGGTGAGTGTCCTGCAGTACCTCCCTGGCAGGTGCTGTGTGTCAGTCCTCGCCTGCTGCGGGCCTGGACCGGGCACGGATGACGAGCAAAACATCCTGCTCACTGTCCCAGTGTCGGACAGTCCTCACAATGTGCATCTCTCATGCTCTGCTGCTTAGATCTCAGGCTGCACATCTGCACTCCCCTCCCAGCCAGCAAACCTCTGTGGCACAGAAATGCCAAAGCCTTACTGAGTCAGAGCAGCAGCTCTGGGCTCTGGGGTGAGGTTTCATGGCTGAGGCAGGCCAGCAGCCAGCTCCCCACAAAGCTTGCTTGCTTCCTTCAGTCCTTCCTTCCTCCTGCACCCCATGCTGTGTAGTGCTGGTCCAGACGTTTGTGTACCCTTCAGTGAGTGGATCAAATCAATCAGCTGGCAGTCTATTTGCAGCTTTTTATCCCCTGGACTAGCTTTTTGCCGGGTTGTCAGGATGAATCTGCTCACCGTGCAGCAGGAGGTGGGCAGTGGAGGTGGGGAATAACAGCAGGCCAAGGTCTATTTTGCCTTCTCATGGATCTCACCTCTCTGAGAGTTTAAAAGGTTTTGAAAATACTGGCAGAATAAGGATGAACAGAACATGCATTTCTCTTGAAATACCTGAACAATCCACATTAACTGAAGCTGTGCTTTTTCTCTTGTGAGAAATAATCACCCATCTTCTGGTTTGACTGAGTCTCTCAGGATATCACATATAATCATATCTGGACCATCATCCAGCTTCTTTATAGTGTCTTTGACTTCTGTGGTGTGTTTTGACAGCTGGACTTTCTGGTCTAACCAGTGAGTCCCCCTCCATCTGGCAAGACCCAAGGTCCACCTGCACTGCAGCCTTCTCCTACACCTGTATTTTAATCATAGAGCAATGGTGCTGGTTGCCTGTTTAGCAGCAGACAAGGGTTTTTGGGAGACAAATCTGGCCTTAAGCACCTGGAAGTAACTTGACTGAAAAGAGAGGTGGTTTGGGAGGGAGGTGCTGCAGTTCTTGTCTGGAGGAAATTGTTCCATCTGAGCTAATGGACGTGATTATTTTAATGGAGTGCAACAAGTGGCGAGAACTTGTGATGAAGATCTCTAGGCAGGCAACTGGCACAGTCTTGCTTTGCTGTCCTGAGGACACAAACGCTGCACTGAGGAATCAGGAGTTGGGAATTTTCATGCCATCCTTCGTGCTGGCTTCTGGGCTATCCCTCTTCTGAGCTGCCTTTCCTGGGCTAAGAGCAGCTCCAGGCCCGGGTCTGCTGGGCCATTTTCTTTTTAATTGCATTTAATTTATTTTGACCTGTGCTGTTTGTGCTGCAGCTGGAGCCTCCCAGGTGAAATGGAACAAGAAGAATGCCAACTGTTTAGCAACCAGCCACGATGGGGATGTCCGAATATGGGACAAAAGGGTAAGCTGAGGGGTTTTTAAACAGTCTGTGCATATTCCCACCTACCTGATGCAGGCATCCCTCTGGTCACAGGTAAATACTGAGAAAACATGCTGCTTTATCCCAAATCTCTCTTGTGGGTGAGTTTAAACTGTAGAGAATTGGGAGGCCACAAACCTGAAGAGAGTGTGTAGATAGCCTCCTTTTCCAGAAATGGTGCCCATTAACGTTTTCGTTTTGATCTCATAGTAGTTAACTGTTTCACTGAGGATAAAGTATCATTTGGGCTGCATTTGGTGACTGGAACTTGCCACAGCTTTTCTTCAGCAACTTTTGCTGAGCTGTTTGTCATTCCCCAGGCAGGAGGTTTTTCTACCTCTCTTTCCCTTGTTAAGTGTCTCTTCCTATGCCAGAGAACTAGACCACGTTTCAGAAGTCCTGTGCTGAGAAGAAAAATGTTTCTCCTTGCAGAAACCCAGCACTGCAGTGGAGTATTTGGCAGCTCATCTCTCCAAAATCCATGGTCTGGACTGGCATCCTGACAATGAGTACACATTGGCCACTTCCAGCCAGGACAACTCTGTCAGGGTAAGTGCTGCTTCTGGGGTTTCTGCTGGGGAGGTGAGAGGAGGGTGGAGCTGATGCCCTTCTGCTGCTGGTGAACTCTTGGGGTGTGCTTCTATTGGTGAGATCTGCATCCTTATCGTTTGGTTTCTGTGCATCTGTGTGTGTTGAGCCAGGACTGCACTTCCAGAACAGGCAGAGAGGTCACTGAAGGATGGGTGCACATGTTTGCCATGTATCTGTGGTGACTGGGGCAGTGAGGGAGCTGAAAACAACCATCTCTCTGCCTGTTGCTTGCCAGAATGGAGCTGACCACACGTGCCAGAAGAGCCTTCTCCCTGAAATGCAGTGTTGCCAGGCTCAAGCTGATCACAGCAGCTTAGGGGGGGACATACTTCAACCCCTGGGGTTTCCAAAGTCATGTTGAACAGGATTATCAATAAGAGACTGCCTGCAACCACTGCTGTGCAGTGCCTTTTACTGGGGGGGAAAGAGTGGGCTTTGTGTGTCAGCCAAGTGGAGTTCATTCACACTGAGCTGAGCTCTGAGGTGATGTGTATTCTAGCAAAGCAAAAGGTTACATTCTTCATTAGAAAATTAGCAGGAACAGCAGGGTGGGCCTGCCTCCAGCCTGGACTGGCACATTGGCCGGGAGCCTGCAGGGTACCTTGTAGCTCTGAAAGCCCAAGCAGGCTGCCTGTCCCTGCTCTAATTACTCAAGCTGTGATCACTGTGAATATGACCCCAAGTCACTCGTTGTCTAAGGGATGCTGCCAGATGTTGATAGCTTGGTATTTGTCCTTCGGGGCCATCTCTGCTGTTAATGAATGGGATTACTAATGATGCTGTGGGCACCCTGGCATGCTTTTTGGTCCGTTCTATCTGCAAGCCACATGGAAAACTACAGCCTGAAAGTACAGCCAGCTGACTCCTGCCTTTGCTTGCCTTTCTCTTGTGTTTTTTTTTTTGTTTTTGTTTTTGTTTTTTTTTGGTGGTTTTAAGTTCTGGGATTACCGTCAGCCTCGGAAATACCTCAATATCCTTCCCTGCCAGGTTCCTGTCTGGAAGGCAAGATACACGGTGAGTTGAGAACCTCCCACCAGCTCCACTTGTGCTCTGAGAGAAATGCACAAAGGGACACTAAATAAAGAACTGCTGAAGGGTTTCTCACCACTTCTACTGCTGGACACTTTTAAGTTGATTTTAAAAATCCCTCTTGGTGCTCAAAAGGCCTAGAAAAGCGTCATCCACAATGGGGGGGAGCTTGGGAGAAGGAGAGAGCAAACACCCAGCCATGTGAAGCTAAGGCTCTTAACGTCAGTCGTAGCTGTTCTCTTTCCCAGACATCTGAGTGCAACCCGAAGCCAGTGCTGTGCCCTGAATTTCTGATCCTCCTTCCCTTCCCCATCCCCACAGTGAGGGCTGTAGGACTGGGTTCCTCTGGTTCCTGTGAGCACTGTGACCCTGAGGAGCTGCTGGGGCTCAGTCCCCAGGTAGCAGTTCTTGCAGCCGCAGGCAGATTGCAGTAAGGATCCCCTGGGAAGAGTCAGTGGTGAAATCCCTCCAGCCTCCCAGCTGAAAAGTGAGGAAGCAGCAGGGAAAAAATTATTCATCTTAAGTGAGCTGCATGGAGTATTTCAGTGGATTTACATCTTATCCCTTGAAAGAAAAGTTTTTGCACAGCATTTGCCTTGGACCTGCCCAGATTTTGGCCTGGTTCTGTTTTTGTGCTGATCTCATTCACGTTGGTGGGAAAAGGGGAAAATTAGAGTATGATAACAGCATCATGGGAGCATAACTGTCCAAGGGGTAACTGGAAGGGTGTTTCTCTCTCAAGCCTTTCAGCAATGGGCTGGTGACAGTGATGGTCCCCCAGCTCCGTCGGGAGAACAGTCTCCTCCTGTGGAATGTCTTTGACCTGAACACGCCTGTCCACACTTTTGTGGGCCATGATGATGTGGTGCTGGAGTTCCAGTGGAGGAAGCAGAAAGAAGGTGAGTTCAGGGCTGGGTGTGCTCTCTTCCCTGCCTGGTGGCTGTCAGCTATCCAGGGGTGTGGAGACCTGGCTGCAGTGCTGTCGCTGTTTAGTTCTTGCCTTTCCTTGGCATGTTCCTGCTCCACCCCCACTGAAGGTACAGCTGTTCTGTCCTGGTTTTACGGCAGTGCCCACAAAAGCATTGCTTGTTCCCATGCTAACAGAGCAAATCTACCAAATGCTGAGTGGGTCAGCGGTGACTCTTATTGCCTCCACTCTCCTGTGAGTCTATTTTTAAATGAATCTTTCAGAATAAATTGTGCAAACTATTAGATGGGTGCACGAGTGCAGGCAGCCTGCTCCAAGCTGCAGGCTAACCAGTTAACCCCTGACATCGTGGCCTGGATCAGCAGCCTCCAGCACAGCCCAGACCACAGACCCAGCAAACCCACCTTATGTGTGTGCTGGCCAAGGCAGGGCAGGGACAGAGAGGCTGCTGTTGGAGTTCAGTCCTGACTGAATTTTCCAGCAGCTAAGTATGGGAGATTCCATGCCAGAGGCTGGATAACCACACAGAGTACAGCTTTGTTTCCAGCACCTCAGCTGCCATCGACAGAACGTGCACACTTGGCTTTGGAGTCGCTTGTGCCGCAGCTTTGCAGTGCTGTGTGAAAGTGCTGGTCCAGCCCTCTGCCACCAGCTGCTGGGGCCACTCAGTTCTCACCACCTTCTCAATAACTTGCTTTTCCTCTTTCAAAAAGAGGGGAGCAATAGACAACCATGTTAGGAGGCAGCACAGGCGAAGGCGGTTTGTGGGTGAGAATTCAAGCAGGCTCGAGCCACAGTTGGTTGTCTCAGCTAAGTTAATGGATATGTACCCAAGGCTGGACATCACGCTCGTCTCAAGCAACGTAAATCAATCACACAAGCATTCCAAGTCTGCTTCAGTGTGGAGACAACCAGAATAGCACAGGTTTCCTTCCACAGAGTCTCTTGTGCTGTATTTAGACACCCCCTGTGCCTCAGCAGAGGGGTGTAGCAAGCAGCTGTGCAGCAGCAAATTCTTTAAGCGTAGCAGCTGTTTGACAAGGGAAACTTAAAACTGCATCACAAGACCTAAACATGGACATAAATAAGTCTGTGTACCTCTGTCTGCTGATAGATAGTATGTGGCTAGATCTATTTCCTTACAACTTGAGCTTGTCTTGGCAACACCCAGCTCTTTCAGGAGAAAAATGGAGGGCAGAGCCGGCTTCTCTTAGCTTAGAACTGTTTTAAAACATCTGCATCTGGAAGCAGATTTGATGAGCTAAAAGATATTTTAACTTTACAGTTACAGTTGAGAAACATTTATGACATTATGATTTTTCTAATTCAATAAATATGGTTGTAGATCTTGTCCGTTCCTAGTTGGAAAACTTGTGTCACACTCATTAGACTTATTTTGTACTTTTGGCCTGTAAACTGCAGCCTCTTTAGGGATGTGGTAGCTGTGGTGCAGGGGAGCACAAAGGCCAATTCAAAGCAGAAATGGTTTGTGCCTTACCCATTGGATGTCCCTGCTGGCTCGTTGGAATCTGTTTATGTTGAACACAGGGCTGAGGCAATCTCTGTTTTCCAGTGGGGTCTCCAGTGGTTTCTGTCCTGTTTAGGTTCCAAAGACTACCAGCTGGTGACGTGGTCCCGCGATCAGACCCTGCGGATGTGGCGGATTGACTCCCAGCTGCAGAGGGTACGTGGACACTTCCTCTTCTGGAACAGCAGGCAGCTTTCTCACAGGCTGGGTTCACCTCCCTTTCCTCACACTCGCAGTCACTCCTCTGACATCCTAGAGCTGCAGACACAGCAGCCAGCTGCTGCTTCACTCTCCTCTTCAGCTCCAGCCCCAGAACATCCCCAAGGAGAGCTGTGATGGGGCTTCTCTGAGCCTGGGCCTCAAAAGCTTCTGTGGAAGTGCAAGGCTGCTTTGTTGCCCAACAATAAGCGTAGAAGTTGTCTGGGGAGGGTGAAGGTCGATTTCTTCGAGGCCCCCAGTGCCTCTGAAGATGCCACCTCCATGGCTGCAGGACTGTAGGATTATTTCTTGGCCCTTTAGGTATTAGGTAAATGTAGGGACTGTGCCCTCTACTTCCTCCCCTTGTTTCCTTTGCCTCTAAGCCCGAGGCAGGTGCTGTGAGTCCTGGGGCTCTGCTCTGTGCAGCAGTGAGAGGTTGCTGATGCAGTTACTGGAACAACTGTGCTGGGTCAGACCAGAGGTTCATATGGCCACAGTGGCCCATATGGCCTTGTCACATCATCTTGGAAGGGGATGGGTGGGCATGGAGTGATGTTTCACTCAAATGCCCTGCCAGCCTCCTGCACTTTGCAGCTTAGAGGCTCATTTAGTCTGGACCTGACAGAGCTTGATGAGTTTTACTTCCGTAGACTTTTCTGTCTTTTCTTGGACCTGTGTAAATTTTTGTCACCCTCAACATCCCATCAACAAGGAGTTTTATGGCTTTTCTGCATCTTGTGTGGAAAACCAGCGCTTCCATTTATTTATTTTGTAACCTGCTAATTTCATTGCATTGAAGGTGAAATGAGCCATCTCTGCTAGTGATGATTCTGTAGACCTCCATCATATCCCTCCTCAGCTGCCTCCCTTTTCAAGTCAGAGGGTCCTGATTTACTTCATCCTTTGTACTAGAACTTCGATTGTCCTTTTACCTGTCATGGCCCTTTTTTTTCAGTTCTACCATGTACTTTCTGGGATGGGGATCTGACCTTTGTTCTTTCCACAGAATTCTCAGTACTCACTTTGGTTTTTGAACTGTTGGACATAATTCCATGAAAACATCAGCTTAGTCTGGCCTGTGCATCTTGTTCCCTCAGTCAGCTTGAACTTGCCAATTTTTTTTCCCATTTTTTCCCATTTTGCATTGCTTTATATTTACCTGAACCAAAGTTCACCCTGCATTTTAACACAGTTACTCCTGTGAAGTCCTTCTGTGATTGTTTGCCGTCTGCCACACTTGTTGCTGCCCTGAAAAACTTGGTGGCATCAGCAAACCTGGTCATGTCGCTATTCACCTCCTATTCCAGGTTTTTAATGAATATGTTGAGAAGCATGTGTCCCAGCACAGATCCTGCAGGAGTCCTGCAGGTCTGTAACAAACTTTATGAAAAATGACCCTTTTCTCCTACCTGATATATTTGTGAACATTTGATTTCTTTCCTGTCTTTAAATCAGTTGTTCATTCTTGTCAGAGCCTTTACTTCTCCTCTGCTGGCTCCCACTCTTTTGTCCTTGTCTTTGTCTGGATCAAACTACGCCCATGATGGCATGTTGCTGGTGGCCAGTGCTGCAATTTGCTACATCACACCATTATCCTTTTTCTTCCCTCTGTTTCTTCTCTTCATCTTCCCTGTTTTCCTGTGCTGAACTTAAAATAGAGGGATGTATGGTCCCATTTTGATAGAGAACCTAGAACACTAGGGCCCCTAGTATGTACCTGGGTCTCCAGATCCTACTGGAGTGTAAATATCAAGCACAGAAAGTATGCTACTGTTACATTGGATCTAAAAAAAAAAAAATTAAACAAATTTTGACAAATTATTTCAAGGAATTACAGTCATATCAGCTTTAGTTTTGATTAAAGTAAAACCCCTTAGACTGGCCCTGTCAATTAAGTGGCTTTGTAAGCGAGCAGGAGATTTGGCCAGGCTGTCTGAGGTGACAGAGCTGAGGGTGCTGGAAAGTGGAAGATCACTTGTCTTCATCACAGAAACTGCTGAGGTCTCAGTCATGCCTGTTGTGTGGACAGACCTCCCTTGCAAACCCATCTGTCTGGAGCAATGAGCTGGTCAGTGGTGGCTCCTTCCCCAGCTTGCATTCTGTTGTGCAGCATGTGGGTGGTGTGTTTGTTCTTTTCAGCTCTGTGCCAATGACATCCTGGATGGAGTTGAGGACCTGATTGATGGGATTTCTCACCTGCCAGAGCCGGACAAGACCCTTCACCCCCAGGATGCAGAGCCCCAGCATAACTCTGGACATGGGGATGAGGAAGGTGAGAGAAGTGACGTCTTGTGGAGCCTCAAACATCAGTGTCTTTGTCTTGGGAAGAAGAAAACCTTGTAGGCAAAGCACAGCCTGGTGTTTCAAAGGTTAATGGATTCCCCATTAGGGAGGCAGAAAAAGACTAGAGGTTCCTCAGGATGGTCCTCCCAAGTTTTTTGTCTTCTAACACAGTGATTCCACCTGTAAAACAAAGCTCTTCCCTTTGTCATTTAATTCCTTCTGATTATCACTTCATTGCGTTCGCTTTAGGTTATAGTTGTGGCTTGTTGCCAAAAACAAGGCAATCAGTGAGGCAATAAGGTAAGTTCTGGCTCTTAGGAGGGTAGATGAGTTTAGGCTGAGAGATGAGCCCACTGCCCCTGATGAGACCCTGCGTGGGTCTGGTTTTGGTTCAGACTGGCAGGGTTTTCCTTGTGGCCAAAGGGAATGACTATGGCTCTTCTGTAGCAGGGTAGATTTTGCTGCAAATACCATGGCTGCAGGATTAATGCACAAGCAAATCCCTTGGTAGGAATTTCAGTGCTTTCTAGCCTAAAAGCTATTGTGGACTGTTGATGTTTCGCCCTGGAGGTGGCTGCACTTCAGCTGCAGACAAAGCCTCCATGTTACATTAGCAGAGCACTTTGGGGGATCTTTGAAGGCAGCAGAGCTCTGCAGGTAAATCAGAGCCCCCAACAGAGTGCAGCTCTCCTTGCTGCTGCTGCTGCTTATAGAGGAGCTTTAGGAATCTGTACAAATACGTGGCTTTGGGGGATTAGAAACTAATTGGAAGGGAATGGGAGGAGAAGACAAAGGGAGGGTGCTGCACATACTGGGAACCTCAGAGATGGCTTTTCAGTAAGCTGCGTGCTGTCTCGAGCTAGAAATAATTATCTTCCCTGAGAGCCACTGATCTTCCTTTAATCTCCTTTTCAGCTTCCTTTTCTGAAGTATGTCTAAGCACTGTAATAAAATTGCAAACTGGAATGAGTGGCTAAGCATCCTACCTATCCAAATTCAGTAACCCACTGGGCAGCAGTAATACCAGATATTTGTCCCAGCAGCAAAATCAGTAACTTTTAGAAAAATGCCTGTAAAAGGTCAACTTTTTGCATTTCTTGTGATTTTTTTTTTTTTTGCTAGGAGTAGTCCATGCAATGTGATATTTTAAGGGTGAGAATGGCATCTGAAAAAAATCAGGACTTCCCTTCTGTCTTTGGAACCATCATCAAGAAATGTATTTGGCCTTAAGAAGTGATGCCACAGTGAAACACCCTCAGAAGGAGCTGTCCCTGCCCTGACGGGGGTGCATAGCAAAAAACGAGGCAAAAGCCGTCCACAACCACAGGCAGAGACTGATTCTTCAAAATCTCAGTGAAGTTTATCTTAACCATAATTCCTCGTGTCCTGCAGTGCTTGCCTGGCTGTTTAAATGTATTCTGGCCTTCAGGGACTATTGTCCTCCTGAAAACTGTTGGAACTGCAGAGCTAGACCCAGCATTCTGATGAGTCTTGAAAGACTGTTAAAGCACTGGAGTGCTTTGCAACATTAAATGCAAACGGCTGCTGCAAATGAATTAAGCCTCTATTAGGAGCAGAAATACTCTCTGCTCTCTCCCAAAGCATTGTTATACTTTGGAAGCTTTCCCTGAAAGCTGAGAGTGGTGGGAGGGGGGGGAGTTAGTCCCAAAGACCAGAGCTCCTCCTGGAGACTGCTTTGGCTGCAGTTCTTTCCCACTGAACTGAGGAGCTCCAGCTCAGCTGATTGTGACTCTGGCAGCACTGTGTAGGGAGGAGAAGGGATCTCAAGTGAGAAGGACTGTTTAGGGCTGCACAGAGTACAGGCAACTTCTGCAACCTTCCCAGGAAACCTGTATGCAGACAGGCTTGTTCTTTTGAAGAGAGGGGTCAGAAGCCTGCCTGTAAACTGCAGCTGAGACCCTCCAGCTCACAGGGAGGTAAAACTCCTACCTCCTTGTGTCAGAAGGGTAGAGGAAAACCTGCTGTCTTGGCTGCCTGCTGACACTGCACACCCAAAGTCTGTCTGTTATGGCTTGGCTCAACCTTTTTCCTTCTTTCCCATCAGCCTTAAAAGAAGATTTCCTGAACGACCCTCTGGTGGGAAAGAAAACAGACCAGCTGGGGCTGCCTCAAACACTGCAGCAGGAGTTTTCACTGATCAATGTGCAGATCCGAAATGTCAATGTGGAGGTAGAGAGTTTCCTTTTGCTGGCTTCTTAGGAGGGGATGTGGGCAGGCTGGTTCATCGGAGCCTTTAGAGGGGAACCTTTGCTGCAGGGACTGCTGTCTGTAAACAAGTTTTATTTTAAGCTGTAGAGATCCTCTTGGCCAGGGGTAGCAAGAAAGAGGATAATCCCAGACACTGGGAGTGAGGGAAGCGTTTCAGCACAGTGAGTGCACTGGCTGATCTTGAGAAGGCTGTGTGGTGTTTTCCCCTCTGCCTTGACTGCAGAGAGGGAAGTGATGTGTTCCATGCAGTTGGTCTCATTTCAGCTGTTTCTGAACCCCATCTGCTGAACCTTCCCTATCCTGCACTCTCTCCCTCAGTTTTGGCATCTCCTTTGTGCTGCAAACCCTCCGCTGTGAGTGGAATGTGGCAGGAGGTGCAGCACTGGGAGGCCACTGCCTGTCTCCTTTCCTTACCCCTGTGGTTTCACAGCTCATGGCATGATCCTGATGGAGTTTTCTGAGACAGTGGCACAGAATCTTGGATGGTGCCTGTTACTGCTGCCCTGGGCCTGGAGCTCTCCATGGCCAGGGGAGGTGGGCTGCAGTGCAGAGGCTGTTGGGAGCAGAGCCTGATTCCTGGTGCTGCCTGGGCTGGCAGATTCTCCGGGTGCTGGGATGCTGGATTGTCAGTGTGTGGTGCAAGCCGAGTCTGTGCCCATCTGCTTGGGGGTTTTTGCTGTAACTGTGTTTCCCTGCCCTTGAGAACAGCTTGACTGTGTGTGCAGAGGAATCAGTCCCTCAGCGTGAATTTAAGCCACTTTAACAGTCCTTGGGGATGTGACTCTGAGCAGTTGCTTTTCCTCACAGATGGACGCGGTGAGTCGCAGCTGTACGGTGTCCGTGCACTGCGGCAACCACAGGGTCAGGATGCTGGTGATGTTCCCTGTCCAGTATCCCAATAATGCTGCACCGTCCTTCCAGTTCATCAACCCGACCTCGATCACGGCCTCCATGAAGGCAAAGCTGCTGAAGGTGTGTGTGGAGTGTACGCTGTCTTTATAAAAACACAAAATGCTGCATGCTCGATGTCTAGATTTTACTGACACAAAACATCTGATCTTGCTGAAGACGTTCCACAGGTCACACTGAACTGACGGATTGTGGAGCCTGCAGGGTGAGGTTTCTTTTTGCACATGAGTATTTGCCTTTCTCTGCTGGTCCTCTTCAAACACATGTTCTTCATTGCTGCTGTGTTCCCATGTATTTCCTGAGGATCCCCAACATCCTTCTCCTCATGCAGTTGCCCTCAGCCCCCTAATAGACAAAATGACCAGCTAAGGATCCAGCTCCAGAATGATGCTGTGTTTGAGCTGGGTTGTTGCTTCCTGCTCTCCTCCACCAACTATTTGAAAAATGAGGGGACTTTCTTTACACAGGTCCTGTTAATTCCAGACCTGGTGTTTGATTGTGTGGTGTAGCAAATCTATTGCTAATGAAATCCCTTCCCCATCAGCAAGCTGATGGATCAGTTTGGGTTCCTTCTTGAAAAAAATTTGTCCCAGTTTGCCCCCAACTGGTATGAAAAATATGGGTCACAGTAGTGTCGAAGCCTAAGTCCTGGCTCAGAGTGTGCTGCATCTGCATGAAACTCGGTGCTGTGATCACAGCTCACAGCCATCCCTCAGAGCAGACAGCACGCCAGTGGCTCCACTTAGGGGGTGTCTTGGGCCTCTCTGGATCCTGGCATCTTAGCTGCTCTGCAGACAGAAAGGATGTGAGCAAAGTGTGGATGTAACCGTGATTCGAGCTGCAATCTTGTGTGTATTCCAGATACTGAAAGACACTTCCCTGCAGAAGGTGAAGCGGAACCAGAGCTGCCTGGAGCCCTGCCTGCGTCAGCTGGTCTCCTGGCTGGAGTCTGTCGTGGTATGAGCTGCGTGGGCTCTCTGCCCTAGTTTGTTGTCTTCTCCCATGTCCCACACTTCTGACTCTGCAGTGAGAGCCTGGCCTCATTAGATGTGTAAATAGACCCCTGTGAGTGGCCATTACATCTGTGTGAGCGCTTCTGGTTCGCGTTGAGCAGAACTGGGTGGATGATTAGATGTGTTTTGTTTCCACAAATGAGGCCCTGAAGGTTTGCTGCTTTGGGGAACTCTGATATTCAGGTTGGGGGGAGTGACTGGGCCTTGGACAGTGGTGCATGGTAGCTTCCCAACTCAGAATATATCTCTCTGAGTGCCAGGGCATGGTTATCATCTGTGGGAGAAGATAAGAGGCATCAGGGAGTTGACGGATTCATCCGTGTCTGAAAGGCAGTGGCAGATGTCTTTACCTTCTCAGTTAAGATCCTGCTAGTCCTATTCTAGGGTTTTTGTTTTCTTCCCTTAAAAAAAAACCCCAAACTGTGAAAATCTGGGGTTTTTTTCTGAAGCTTTGTGCTGAGGTTTTGTGGGGATGATACTGCAGATAAATCCAAGTCACACTCTGCTCTTAGCTGAGAGATCTGTGATACCTACTCAGCATCCCAGTGTCAGGTATTAGGTCTGTGTGTGGGTGAAGTGCACCGGGGTGGGTGTTTTTAGCATTCAGCAAAAAATTGGAGAGTCTCCTCAGGTTTCTCTTCTGAGAGGTTTTGTTTATTCTTCACAAATAAAGAGCTTTTTTTTTTTTTTTAATGTGGAAAATCTTAATTCTGTTTGGTTTCAGCAGTAATATTGTAAGAGTGGGAACTGTATGGAAATCTGATGACTCAAGCCAGGCACCACTGCCTTTAAAGAATTCCTTAGACCTAAGTTGTAATATTCTTTGTCCAAATAAATGCAAGATTTCTGCTAAAATTCCTATGGATAGGTTTGAGGTCCCCCAGTATTTCACATCACCTGCCTTCCTCGCTTGAAGGCTCCAACCTGCATTTGATGCCCCACAGTTGTGTGGTATTCCCATTTATGGAGGTTTTGTCTCGCTTGCATCACTGAGGTATCAGGTTTAGCTCAGCTTGCTGTCTTGAGGGTCATCCAGAGTGTGAAGGTCAGATTTTCTGTACACTTTCCCACTGTTTCTCCCCCAGTTCAGCTCTGCATTTCAGCATGGTTATGGTGGGAGAAAAATACCTGGATGAGCAGCCAGAGAAGCTCTTTCCTCAAAGGCAAATGTGTTGGCAAGTGCCTTTGCAGCTGGAGCAGTAACCATGCTCTGAGCTTGCTCTGCTCTGGCTTGAGGGATGGCACCTCCTGTGAGGCTGGTTGGCAGTGCCATGTCAGGTTCTCTGGCTGGATCCCTTTCCTGTGGCAGCAGGAGTGTGACCCTGGGTAACTTCTGTTCCAGAACCAAGAGGACAGCACGTCCAGCAATCCCTACGCTTTGCCGAACTCCGTGACACCCCCCCTGCCCACCTTCGCTCGCGTCTCCAACGCCTACGGCTCCTACCAGGACTCAAACATCCCATTCCCACGGACCTCTGGAGCCAGGTTCTGTGGTGCAGGTCAGCCCCATCGCTGCTGTGTTACAGCAGCTCCCCGGGGAATGCTCCTTCCAGTGTCCTGGGGAACACTTCCCTGTGAACAAGGCTTTGGTCACTGCCGTGCAGCGAGTGAGAAATGGTGTTCCAGTGGCGATGTTGTGGTGAATTTGTAGATGAGACTAGGTAGCAACTGTTTGCAGTTTGGTGTTGCATGTGGGATTTTAGGATTTGGAAATGCAGGGATAGCTGAAGAGATGGCCCCTCTGGCTTGTGGCATGCCAGAGGCGTTGGCAGAGCTCTTACACAGAAGTCTGGGAATAGCTGTTTTCCTTGCCTAGTTCTCTCCTCCCAGCACCACGTTGCTGGATGTATTCTGGTGCTCAGTCTGCATGGAATTCCTGTGGTTTGGGGTTGAACTTAGCCCTTGATGAAACCATATTCTTGCTACTAACCACTCTTTTCTCATTCTACATTCTTTCTGATGTCCAAAATAGCTTTCCCAAGGTCATTGGGAAACTTCTCCCAAGTGGGAAATGGGGTGCAATCACATCCAGGTTTCCAGGAGAGCCTACAGGGCAAAGATCATTAAAAATCAGGTTAAGGTCTGAGTGAGAGCTGCTGAGTTTCACTGAGCTGTTTCAGATGCATGCATGCTTCCTCTGGACCTGACTGCATCCCAGTCTGAGCGTGTTTTGAAAGCTGCTTTCCACACAGGCCTCTCAATTCCCAGGCAAAAGTAAAACAGAATAGTATTGCATTGAATAGGCTCAGTGAAACCTGCTAAGTCCTGAAACTCTTGCAAGAGTGGGTGGCTGAAAACACTTGAGGTGCTAACAAACGGGGTAAGGCTTGTGAGAGCGTGTTTGGAGTTGGCTTCAGGTGGCTGGGGCTCTCCTGTTGACGAGGAGGGTTGTACAAGCTGCAGTGGTTTCTCTCCACTGCCAAACATCACCTCACTTACCTCTGGAGCATCAGTGCTTGGCAGGTTCTGGTGAGGAGTTAAAACATGAGCATGTCTTTGCTCATTTTCCTCTCTTTTCTCTAACAGCTGTAAGCCACTTGAAATGGTGCTTTTAAGAGAAACATCTCAACAGAACGTGCTTCAGGGAGGGAGTTTGGGTTGAGAAAATGGGGTTGTCTACTTTTAGTTTAAAAGTGCTGGGGGTAGTGGATAGGTGCCCAGCCCCTTGCCTCTGATACCCGAAATGGTGGCCAGGTTTCCCTGTGCTCAACCCTGGAGTAATCTGCTCCTCGCTGCATGATCTTCACGCCGTGTCCTGTCTCGTCAGGGTACCTGGTGTACTTCACGAGACCCATGACCATGCACCGCGCCGTGTCTCCGATGGAGCCCACGCCCAGGTGAGTGCCCCGCGTGGCGTTGGATGTGTGCTGCAGTGGGCAGGGAGGCAGGAGAGTGTCGGATCCTACACTGGATCTGCTGACCTCTAGCGTTGGTTGTGCCCTGGGCACGGACAGCCCTTACACCGCTGTGCCTCCGCAGGCGCCTTCCAGGACACCGGAACCGCAGCTTGGGTTAGTGGAGATGTCAGTGGGAACCTGCAGGACTTTTGGTGGGTGAAAGCCCCTGAAAGGGTATTCCCCTCTTTTTTCCAGGTCCCTGTCAGCGTTGTCAGCGTACCACAGCGGCCTCATCACTCCCATGAAGATCCGCACGGAGACCCCGGGCAACCTGCGCTTGTACAGCGGGAGCCCCACGCGCAGCGAGAAGGAGCAGGTCTCCATCAGCTCCTTCTACTACAAGGAGAGGGTAAGGACCACACCAAAACACTTTTCCCAGCACTTCAGCTTTTGTGATCTCCTTTCCTTTAGCATTTCTAGTAACAGAAGCTTCATATTCCTCTCCAGAAGATGTTTTTTTTTTTTTTTTTACAGGCAGCTCTGTAAAATGTCAAAAGGATTTATCTCCTATTAGTCACTTCTTCACTGATCCTCTCTAGCATTTGACCTGCTTATTTCGATGTTTCTCTATGCTGACCATCACAGTTTCCTTCAGTGCATTACACTGTCTCCCTTTGCATTGTGTAGGGTTAAAATCTCATACTTTAGGAAGCCCTAATCTCCAGATAAATAGATATAGGTAGCTCTTGCTGTTCTGGGTGCTCCCTGACATATGTAACTGCAAAGGGTTTTGGCTCTCTCCAGCTTACTGCCAGCCTCTCCTGGATTATGGGATATAGTTGTTTTTTTCTGTTTCAGGTGTCTCTTTCAGGGATATGTGCCCCTTTGGACCTTTTTTTTCTTTTTTTTGAACAAAAATCATTCCTGCGTGATCCTCTAAAGATCTTCCAATCCACATACTCCTGGTTTAGGTGTGGGTTTTGCTGTCACTGCTGTTTACAAGCAAGGCTTTTGGGGGGGAGAGTGGGACTGTTTCTTTCTGTTGTAGTTGTAGGGTGGCCACGGGGCAGTTGTGAAGCAGCTGTGAGGGGCTGATGTGCCTGGAGCAGACGCTGTGGGAATAATAGGCTGAGCAGGTTTCTCAGAAACAAACTCTGGGCTTCAGCAGGGCATGAAGAGGCTTGCAAAAATGCAGTAAGCTTCTACCGAGAGCCTGAGAATTTGGGGCGATTTGAGTAGTTTGCTCCCTGTCCATGCAGGGGTCCCTAATCTGCTGCAGCAATGGAGACCCTCCAGCTACACCAAGGAAAACTAAAAGCTGTCTGCACTCTGCTGCAGTGGAGCTTGGGAACTGCTGTCCCAGGAGCAAAGGGAAGGTCAGAGCCTTGAACTCCCCTCCTTCCTGGGCACTGAAAGGGGTCTTGTTTTTCCAGTGGTGTTGGATGTGACAGCCAGCCCTGTCTCTGGGACTGTGTCCTGCTTACATGTTAGTCCTTACACCTTCCACACCTCTGGCCCCAGTGCAAGCTTTGCCTCCATGCAGACCCCAGAAGACTCTTAAGTCCCCGTTCTGTGTTTTTTTTTCCCACACAACCTTCTTTTTTTTTTTTTTTTCTGAAAAGAGAAAATGGTGCTGCCTGGTACAAGAATTACAGCCTGTTCTCCTCTTTGCAGGAGAGTTTATTTAAAGAGCTACCTCTGTCCTCTGCAGCATGCTTGTCTCCGACACACAGCTCTCTAAGATGACAGACAAGGCTAAAAATAACATGTGGAAGCAGCTTGGTGCAATTTCATGTGACCTGTCTGCCCAGCCCTTGTATAGATGGCAACAAGATTTTTGTCACGGGGTAAAAAAAAAAAATAAATCAAGAGAGCCAAAGCTTGTGTGCAGCCATGTCTGCTGAAAGCCAGGGGAAATTCCTGTGTTCCTCTTCCCCCTGCCAAGGTATCTCCTTGCATGCTGGAAGAAATGTGAGGACTCTAGCAGGGAGCTGACATAATTCTAAACCAAAAAAAACATAAAAAACCTTTATCTCCCTTCAGCAGAGGTTTTCTGATTCTTCAGGATTTGATGTCATGGCCTCTGTTAGATCAGTGCTACGTATTTTTATGTCATTTCATTGTGAGGTCTTTAAAAAGCCCAGACTCTGAGTCTAGTTAACTCCATGCTCTTGAAGAAGCTTGGGTTTTATGTTTGCATTAAATGTTGAAATTTTGTGCGTTGAACTCTGATAACTTCGACCCCAGCACTGAATTTGTCAGCGTTAATCAAGTGTTTAATCCCACGTAGCAGCCACTGGCATCACTACCATCAGCAAACAAATGGAATCTGCCCATTGCTGGACAGCAAAGATGTCATGTTCCCATAAAGGCAGGGGAGCTGCTGCATCCATCAGAGAGCTCCTTGGTAAAGCAAATTGGAACTCACTCTGGCACTGAGCCTCTCTGTGCTCATTTAAGAGTGTGTGTGTATATATATATACACACAGGCACATATATATATATATTTCTCACTTTTTATTCACACACACACACACTCCTCCTTTCTTCCTCCCTCTTTTTCACTCCTCAGAAAAAGCCCCACTGAAGAGCAGCAGTCAGCAGAAGGGAGGAGCTGTGTTGATGCCGTCATTGTTTCAGGCCTGGGTGTCTCTTAAGGAAGGTGCCATGGCTGTGGTTTTTCTCCCTGCAGTTAAGAGGGTCGTGCCAGTGGGGACATGGGGACAGCTCAGCCTTGCTGTACAGGGTGATGGTGACAGTGGTGACCTTATGCTTCCCGCCAGGGAATTGGTGGGGGGACTGAGCTTAGTTTTGCTGCTTCTCCACTGTACCAAATTCCCTTCGAGTGACCTTTTTCTCCTCCTCTGGGAGGCCTGATGAGGAACCTGTAGCACTTTCCATGGGCCCTGCAGCCTCGGCTCCCTGGCTGCAGGGTTCCCCCAGCAGTGAGGTGCACGGGGATGGAGAGGCTGAAGGCATGGCTGATGTCTGTCACCAGCTGAAAATAAATGTAAAATACATTGCCTATGACCCAAATAACCCTTTTTATTGTGCTGACTCTCGCAGAAACGTACACAGAATTTTTTTTTCCAAGTGAGTGTACAGTAATGTGTTTTGAAAGGTTCCATTTGTGGTTGCTACGATGCTGCATGGAGTACTGAAATGTCTGCAGGTTCCTAATGAAAACCTACTTTGGAGCTATTCTGCATCGTCAGTCAGTGAATTTGATTGTTCACTCAATCTGAATGAGTTCCTCAACCCATAATGACAATCTCCACATGGCCCTGCCAAGTAGCAGTGTCTCATACATCCCTTCTAATATCCTGACATATGGCTTTTATTGTTTAAAATGAAAGCGAACAGTTACAGCAGGTTCCAGTGAATGAAATCCTGGCGGATGCTGAATGTTAAAGGGATATCTGAGTAAGCAGGAGTGTTTGTTTATGTACCTTCCTGCAGATTTCTGTGCCATGGCACTGGATAGCTGTGGTAAAAATGATACAGCTTGCACTTCAGGCAAGAGGAGTAAAACTGATGAGAGTTTAGGCATGTGGGGCAGTTGGGTGTTGTCCTCTGCTCAGTTCACGGTACGAACAAGGTCACACAGCGCTTCTTGCAATAATACAACTCTGTGTGGAAGACTTTATTCAGATTTGTGGTTGCCAGAGTCTTCCACCAGAGCTGGTCTGGGGCACAGGCACAGCAGCTCTTGCTTTGCCAGGGCCGGAGGGAACGTGGTGTGGTACAGCTGTGTGAGGATGAAAGTGGGGGTCGTGGTTTGCAACTGTTCACTGTGTGACAGAACCGCTGGGAACAGTTATCTTTTACTCTGCTGGTTCAGGGCGCTTTTCATTTCAGTTTATTTACCTCTGTCTTTAATTTTCTTGGTGTCTCTCTCCCCTTCTCCTGGGTATAACGTTTTCGGTACAGATGTCTCCTCGCTCTGCCCGGCGACGTTGGTCCATACAAGCAATTAACGACTTCCCGGTACTGTGTGCTGTGCTGATGCTGTCCTTGATATGACCCCCTGTCTTCTGCCCAAGGGCCCAAGAATAAGATGCCACCTGCCTGCCTTTGAGTAACCTGCACAGAAGTGGGGGACTCTCACTCCACACAGGGCCTGGGGCTCCGATGAGAGCTGTAAGTGGACAGGAGCAGACAGGAGTTTGCAGGGTACAATTGCTGACCCACAAGATGCCTGTTTGACCTGGCCTTGCAGTCAGGAAAGGATGCCAAGGGGGAGTTTGAAGTGTAAGAAAAGATCAACCCCTAAGAGAGTGCCCTGTAGAGGAGCTGAATGGTTATTACACATCATCAACCAGTTGATGAGACTGACATCAGAGCACCTCACTTCTGAGAAGATGCCAGAGAGGGAGGAAAGGTCACTTAAGAGCTGTGGAAGGAACAAACTAGTTGAGTACCTGACAATGATCTGTCATCTCGTTAAAATGTGTTGCCAGTTCTCCGTGCAATCCATCACACAGTCTTATTTCCTGGACCAATAAATAGAATTTCTCCTTAATTTGTGATCCTCTCCCAGCCCTTGGAATCGCACCCCCCTGCATTCAGTTGGAGTGGTTGCACTTCCAGCCACCCTGGTACTGCCTCCCCCTGGCACCTGCCCTTCTGAGTTTGCTTTGACAGTGGTTTTCTCTTAGTCAGGTCCACGTGTTGCTCAAGCTTGAACATCATTCATGTGAACATCTTGATGATAGCAGGGTTGCTCAAGCTGTGCTGTACATTTGGGCAATTACTATCTCATCACTCATCTGCCAAGCCTAGACAAAGCTCAGAAAGCTCAATTTCAATTTAAAAATGATCTCTTTAGGTTGGTTTGTCTTAATGTCTGTGTGAACAGCTGTTTTTTCACAGCTGCTGTCCTTCACGCTATCTCTTCAGAAGACAGCAGGGAATAAAATAGAATCCTGTAACACCTAATTTAACTTGGTATAATAGGATCAAACTTTCCTAATTACAACAGCTCTAGGACTATACTAGCAAATAATAGGTGAGAGAAAGCAGAAGTAATTTGCATGACTCCATCGAGCCTTTTTGCAAAGAGCTAATAAAGAAATGGGAGCAGTGCATGCAAGAAATGAAGTTCTGTCTTGGATCAGGAACAGAGTGAAGGAAAGAAAGAAAATCAAGCAAGGAACTTGCCAGGTTGTGGTGTGATAAATAGGGGTGCACAAAGGTCCCCAGTTTAATTCCCTTACCACTGGCCTGGAGGGAAGAGCAAGTACTGATGTGATAAAGTTATGATTTCATCTAACATATACTTAAAAATGATAGAGAGGTTGGTCCAAGCCTTGAAGGATTGACTGCATTTGTGGATAACCTTTGGAAGAGCCTCATCTGACTCTCTGAATTGGGCAGTAGTGCCTCAGGCAAAGACACAGGCATGCCCACGGAGAGCTGGGGTTTATTAGTGCAGATCAGGTGCCTTCCTTCTGGGAGAAGAGCTCAGCGTTGCTCAAGCTGCTTGGGGAACCCAGAGCTTAGCAAGTGTCCAGGAGGCAATAATTCATCCTTCTTTTTAGGTTATGGCTGGCTTCCTCTGCCCAAATGCCTGTGCTTCAAGGCAGGTGCCAGCTATTGATTGATGGAAGCTATAAAGAAATATTCCTGCTGTGGGGCACTTGATTCAAAAGGGCCTTGGATTTTTTTTTTTTTAGCACCTTCGTGGAAGGTACTGGGGGAGATGCTGGAAACAGTAAATGTTGATTATTTTGAAGAGAAAATCCAGGCAGTGCTGCATGAGCCGCGTGGGGGAGTTAATGTGTAGGCAGTTGTTAAGAATGAAGGGGCATAGCTTTCTGCAGGGAGGCAGCGATTTGTATGTTTTATTTAAAAAAAAAAAAAATTAGAAGCAGTTTGAACCTGACTTTGAGCAAGATTAACTGTTTTGTAAATGCCTCATTGCAGCTTAATCTTTGCCATCGAGTCTGTTTTTTTTTTCTGCCCACGGCCCTTCCCTTTGCCCTACTAAGGCCAGTTTGTAGCAGGAATCCTGACATTTTGCATATGCTTATGCGAAACAGGCACTTTGCGTTTCAGGATCCTACTTCAAGCACTGCCTGCCTCAGCAGGATCCCAAGGCACACACACCCAAGTGTTCAGCATCCTTTCCAAGCGGGCACGCAGCATTTTGCAACTCCTTCTGCTGAGTATGCAGTGATGATGGTGGTTGCTACAAAGCAGTTGGTGGCTTATTCTTGGGCTATCTGTTTCTACATGTAACCCATTTACTGCCATCGTTATCACCTCAGATTGCAGCAAATTACAGCCTTGGGTGCAGTAGTGCAGGTGCAGGCTGGCTTTTTTAGTCGTTATTCAGTGCTGTTCCCTGCTGTCACCTCCAATCCCATGATTGCCATAAATGCTTTGGTTACTTTCCTTCTCCTGCTCTGAGGAACTGATGAGTCTTAATTTACTTCTCACTGTAGCTATTTCCTTTCTTATCTTCCTCTCCTTAAACTGAGGAGCAGCTGAATAGATGCATTTCTCCTTGGCATGGATTCCAGTCTACAGAAAGAGATAGAAGTGTCTGGGCAGTGCAGAAGAGCCACGCCTTTGTCCTCCAGCTGTCAGTAGTTAGCTGGGTGCATGCGTGTTGATTTTCTGCTTCCGCTCCAAGCATTGTGTTTCCTGCTCCCCATCCTGACCTGTGCTCCAGTCCCTAGGAAGAGATGTATTTTCTATTCTACCCTAATGCCCAGGAGCCTTGGGGACACCTTTCAATTACCCCCTAGTGGGAGCTCCTCCCAGGAGAAGAAATGAAGCGGAAGGGAGGGAGAAACCTTGTGGTGGACCTTGGCCAGACAGACCCAACCTGGAGTTTTGCACGTCTCTGGTAATCCCTGTTAAAAGGGCTCAAATACCACCTGGTGGAGAGCCACTCCTGTAATTAACACCAGCAATTATTGGATTCAAAGCAGAGCTGCTGCTGTCAATGCTGATGAGTTTTACCCCATCCGGGATGGTTCCGACACTTCCGATTGTGGGGTTTCCCCTAACACTTCATTGCTGTGGCTGAGGCAAACCTGAATTGCAAAAAACCAGACATTTTTAATGGTCACTCCGCATGTGGCTTTGTGATTTTCTTTTGTCACAGCTTTTTAGGGGCAGGAAGTGGTGGGCAGGGAAGTGTAGTACTGGCAGGGCCTGTGGCCATTAACTGACCAGTCCGGGTGCTGCATCAGTAAAGAGTTAGGGCTTCCTTTTTTGCCAGTAAATAGGCAGTGCTAAAAGGGAGAAAACAGGACAATTTCATTGTGAGTCCCAGTCTTCAGGGGTTTCTGATATCTTCGGTGTCTTCATTTGTCTGCTGATATGCCAACAGCAAGCAGTGAAAACCATTCATGAGACCTCTTTTTCATTCTCATCCTCATTTGTTGTCGTTCTTCTCCAAAAACATTTTACTGAATTACCTGTGGAAAGTGATGTGTGTTGTCCATGTTTCTATAGTCTTTGAAATGCCTGTTAGGAGGCTTCTTCAGTCCCCTCTTACAGAGGGCAAGAGCAGGTTGAATCTGTTCCCAAAAATGGGGCAGAGAACCTGCCTCGGGCAGAGGGAGCTCTCCACTGGCTGTAAATCCTGGAGGCAGCTGGCTTACAGATGGTCAGGAGGTGACAAGTTGCTCTCCAAATTACCTGCCAAGCTCTGGAAGCCCTTGTTGATAGCCCTGAAGAATGTGGTGCTGTGTCTGCCAGCCTGGGCTCAAACCCCTGCTCAGACACAGCACAAGTAAACAGCTTTTGTTGTGGGGAGCCCGGCGGCCCTTCCAGGAAGGTGCCTGGGCTCTTGTCCTGGTGCCACATTGTTTTGCTGGGGCTCCCAAGCTTTGCTCAGGTGCTGATTTTGGCAGCCCCTCGCTGCATTTTCCAGGAGACAGCATTTTCCTGCCCTCAGAAGGGGTGGGGTACAGGTGCCACTGTTCTTTGGGAACCTTGTTGTAATACAGCCCCCTCCTCCACTACAGGAAAGGCAGATAAATGTTTAGATCATCACAAGAGGGTTAGCCTGCCCAGTGGCAAGAGAGGCAGAGCTGGTCCAGGCAGTGCCTTGATTAGGAACTGATGCTTCCTGTGGTGTGTGCTGGAATTGTGCTCAGCATGGCAAGACCTACTCAGCACATTGGCCTAAGCTTGGGCCAGGCAGGCAGTGAAGGAGGAATTCATCTTATAACAATAATATAGTAATTATAATAAATAACTCATGAGGAGTTTCTTAAGGACATTTTGTGTCTGATAAGCCTGCCCAGGTTTTCACGGGACTGCACGACCGTGGTCAAAGGCCATTTGGCGTGCAGCCATCCCAGGGCTGGCCTCACACCCACAGCAGAGGTGACCCTGCTGGGCAGGTCCAAGTCCTGCCCTTGCTGTAGCCCAGGCTGCTCTTTAGGAGCAGGGATGTGAGTTTGTGTGGGCTGTGTCTGCCTTGCAGAGTCATCAGCACAGGGCTGCTTCGCTGGCCCGTTCACAGGGGTTGTTCTGCTGCCAACAGAGGAGTAGGAAGGCCCAGCAGGAGTGCCTCAGGAGGCCTCCACAGCTCAGCATGACCAGGCACGTGGGCTCTGTGTGCCACTGAGGGAACACACCATAGGGGAGCAGCATTGCAAAGCATCACAACCCTGCACAGCAGCCAGTGCTTCCCTTGGTAGAGCTCCCGTGCCTTCTGCCTGTTGTGCTGCTGCACATCCTCTCCTCCTGTCTCCTCACCCTCCCAGACCAAGGAGCTGGAAGAGGCCAGGATACCAGCCAAATACTCTGGGGTGTTTCACCCAGCCAAGGTAGCTGTATGCATCTTGGCGTTAAGAGGGCCTCTGTGTTTCTTACAGGGAGTATTTGGGAATCTTGGCTTCTTGTTTCTGTTCCCTTTTGTTGGTTCCTCTCCTTTCTTCTCCCCCCCTCTTAGGTCCTGAGCCAGCTTTAAGTAGCTGTGAGCATGGTAGCTAAGGACCCTTGCTAGGAAAACTTGGGCCCTGCTTTATCATCTGCTGGTTGTTTGTTTGAAGCTGTTGATAAAGCAGGAGGTGGGAGCCCTGTGCTGGGTCTGAACGGGGCTGTGCTCACCCTGGAAGGGCAGACCTAGAGACAGTCTGGAGCTGCTGGCTTGCCCCAAGGCAGAGGGCGAGCAGAAGCAGCGTCCTGCACGTCTCTGTGCTGATCCTGGCTGAAATCAGCCCTGGTCTGTGTGCAGAGGGTTCCCAGAGAACGAGAACTGAACAGTCCTCCTGCCAAACTTGCCCAGGTTCGATTGGCATCCCCGTGTTGATCTGTTCTCTTGCTGGCTTTCACAGGGGAACTCACGAAATACTTTTTGAGTGAGTTCGACCTTGAGCTCGCTGCCTTGACCTGCTTTTCACTCCCTACAGATGGAGATGCTTGTTCTCCTGGGCATGCCATGGATGTTTTTCAGGGTAACACAGAGCCTTCTGAAAGGCAGGTTTGGGTGCTGCTTGCATTATTCCTGACCCCAGTGCTTTGTTCCCTGTCCCGAGCACCCCACCATCCCCTTCCCCAGTAACACACGGCCCTTCGTTCTGCAGAAATCCAGGAGGTGGAAAAGCAAACGAGAGGGGACGGACGCCAACAACCGACCCATCAAAGCTGCTGGGAAAGTTATTATCCAAGATATTTCCTGCTTGCTGCCTGTCCACAAGCTGCTGGGGGAGCTCTACATGTGAGTATGTGTGCAGTGCCATCCTCTCCCAGATGGAAGCACTCCTGGGCTTTAATCCTGACAAAGTCAGCACTGATCTTTGAATGTTTCTCTACCTTCTTCCTCTGTTCTTGCCTGGCTGCTTTTTTTATGGTACCCCTCTGCCTGTGAGAGGGGATTTGTCTCCTGGAAATCTGGAAAGTGGGAGGGAAGAAATTTGTGATGGGGTGTTCTAAATAGAGTTTGAAGTGGCACTTCAGCATCATCATTTATAGGTTCAGGTTTTCACCAGCTAAAGAGAGAAATTATCTGTACAAATTCTTTTTTCAGGTCTCATGTTGAATTCTACACTTAAATGGACAGGCATCAAAGTCTCAGTCAATCCACATTTTTGTTCTATAGAATTGTTAATAGCTCATAAGGCTTTTTTATTTCAGAAGGATTTGGCGACTTGTTTGTACATGCCAAGTCTGTACTGCAAGTTGTTCTGCTTTAATGGCAAGGAGGGGGTTCTGTGAGCATTTTGTGGGGTTTGGGGTTTTTTTTAAACAAAGGGCTTCCCTTTTCCAAGCTTTCTAAATCATACAGTTACAAAACCTCTGTTCCTGAATTTTTTCTTTCTTAGCTTAGGTAATACTGACTGGTCCTTCATGGAATTTCCAGTCTATGGACATTCAGGGAAGAAGCAGATTTCCTTCCTTAAAGCTGGAAGGGGAAGGGGGGGTCGGAAGAGAGGAAAAACTCCCCTTCCTTCTTTTTTTTCTATATTATCAAAAAGAACGTTCTTTAAAAAAACCTGTTGGACCTTTCTGCTTGGGATACCTCCTGTAAACAGCCTGACCCTTTTCCATGTGCCTTAAAACCTGCAGCAGTGTTGAAGCGTTAAGAGCCTTGTGCAGATTTCTGATGACAAGCAGAAAAGTCCAGGTGGGTTTCCTCAGCCCACCTTGCCAGCCCCTCAGAGGCTTCCCAGTGGGTGTGTTTGCCTACTTGGGAACAGGCTGAAGGCCATCCTGATTCTCCCCAGCACGCCACCATCTCCCTGCAGGTCAATCAGAGCAGATTGACGGGCTGAGTGGGAACAGCTTTTAGGGATAGGAATGATTCCGGGCTTGGTGATATCCTGGCACTGGTCTGATATCTTCTTGGGAGTGGTGCTGCTTGGGATCAGTCCCAGCTAGTGTGGAGCTGGTGTGGTGTATTAGGGAAAATGAATCCTAGGAGAAGGACAGCAGTGATCCCTGAATAAACAGAAGGAAGGCAGGGGATCCCAGCCATGTGAGCAGGCTCGTACTGACCAGGGGCTTCTGGGCTGCTCATGCTGCCAGCACCACATTCCCCCTACCCCTCCCCACCTTCATAGCAGATGTGCCAGCGAGAGCTGAGCCCCCTCCTTTCTCTTCAGATTGAATGTGAATAACATCCAGGAGACGTGCCAGAAGAACGCTGCCTCGGCCTTGGCTGTGGGACGGAGGGATCTGGTGCAGGTATGACACGGAATCACATCCCTCAGCGTGCTGTGCTATCCACAGATGGCTTGTGCTGCCCCTGTGACACCCAGACAGCCACCTGGGTTCAGCAGGAAGCCTCTGGTTGGTGAACAGAGGCCTGTGGAACAGCTGCTGAGATGGTCCCCACCTCACTGGCTCTTGGCGTGGAGAGATTCCTTCCCAGGGCTGCAAAGCAGATTGTTTATGCCCTTTGCCAAACTGAGTGAAGCACATTTTTCAGGGAATTCCTGAAGGCAAATTGAGGAATGCAGCCTGCTTTTGAGTCATCCAATGGAGTAACTGTGCACAGAGTTGCCTAGCTGCTGTCAGCATTCTGATCCGTAATTTTTTTCTTTTGCTTGTGTAATCGCTCCCATTGTTTGGCATTCATGTGTGCTAACTAGGTGCTAACTGCAGCTAGCTTCTCCCAAGGGACCCCAAAATGGGGCTGGCTACTTGTCTTCAGCTAAAAATAGGAGACAAATGGCTCTTGTGGCCCATCCTTTTCTCTGTGATTAGTCCATTGCAACAGGCAGAACATTTGACAGGATGCAGGAGCACCTGAAGGAGATGGGAGCTGGCAGTGACAGAGCAGCTGGGCACATCTCCTGAGCATTTGGCCCTTCTAGAGCTGGGCAGGCAGCATGCACAGGCTTACCTGACCTGAGCCAAAGCAAACTCAGGCTGTAGTTTTGCTTCATGGTGGATTCTGCTGGATCCAGAGAGAGAAAGCAGTTCTGGTTCCCCTTTGTGCTTCCCCTTGCAGTCTGGTTTGCTCTCATTGGACCAGAGCTTGGGTGGAGAAACTTCAGCAAGATTTCTCTGAGATCCCTCTGTTTCTGGCTTGTTATTCCCTGTCCATGTAAGTCCAGCCTGTACTGCAGCTGTCCTAGCAGACACAGAGGCTCGAGTGGCAGGTTACGTGTCCGATGTGCTCTGGAGCAGTGCAGGAAGTGTTGTCTTTCCTGTTTCCTCTCTGTGCCCTCCCATGCTCAGCCCTGTCCTTGTTTCGGTTTCTTTTCTGTTTCTTTCTGTCTGGTTTCACAGTGAGCAGCCCTGGGACTGCTGTTCTTAGTAATTGGATCGTGTGGGGTTTTACTTTTCCATGTTGCCAGTTCTCTGATTTAACTGGTTAAATTTCAGAATTAGAAGTGGCAAACTGTGCTCCTGTCTGTGCCAGGCTGTGCTAGGAGAACAGTGTTCAGTAACACTCCAAACTCATCAAAAGATACTTTTAATGCACAAACTGATTTACCAGTAAACTTTCTGCCACCAGCCATCTCCAAAAACAAGAACTGTATCAAATCTAAACCCTTTTGAAGCTCGTGAATATAAAATTTACGAATAGATTTGTTAATCTACCCTGACAGATATAGACTGTTCTGCTTTCACATTTAACCCAAACTCAGAGCAAGTGGGAAAAGAGGAAAGCTTTGGGTTTGTGTTACTCTCTGTATTACTTGTGACACAGAGACCGAAACTGTTCCCTGCTGTCAGGGGAAAAAAAAAAAAAAAAAAAAGCAAGCTCCATTATTATCTGTGTGTGAATTTGTGCACACCTATGCCCTGGGAGTGTGGTTATTCCTAATTGTAGCTTTGCTGCTTTTCCTTCCTGTCTGCCAGGTTTGGTCACTGGCCATGGTAGCCACTGATCTCTGTCTCGGACCGAAGTCTGACCCAGATTTGGAGATACCTTGGGCACAACATCCATTTGGACGTCAATTACTGGAGTCCCTGTAGGTGTCTGGGTGCTGGGGAGGGGCTGGGGATGGTTGCTGAGGCAGAGCCCTCCATAACTGTGTCCCTGTGAGGCTCATTTGGGATCTGGAGCAGTGCCGCAGCGGGGATTGTTCTCCCCTCTCGAGCCCGCAGTGCCCCACAAAGAGGAGCTCCAAATGTGTTCATTCCATGTGGGAGGCAGCACTTGGCCTTCCAGCTATCACCCAGGTCTTCCTGGGCTGGCATTGAGCAACAGCCAGGCATGGGTGGAGCTCTGCTTTCCAGCATGCCCACAGTGCCTGATCTGGAGATCAGAGTGGGGTTCCTGCTCCCCACTGAACGAGCCTGTTGGGGCAGCAGCTTTTTTCACCTTCAGATTCCCTGTTGCCACGTAGCATTACTGGAAAATCATTCCAGTGGTCTCAAAGCCTAGTGTTAGCTACAGATGTCTTCCAGATAGTGAATCTGCTCAGGAGGGCACGTAATTAGTAACTGATATTACAGGTAGTAATTGTATCTGTTGATACACCCTGTTTGGAGGCACAGGATTTGTGTGGTGTACTTTCCATGCTGTTGATTAGCTGAGCTCTCTCCTGCTCCGTGGCAGCAGTGGGAGTGGAGCACGGGTTGTTCTTCATCACTCTCAGTCTTCAGAGCAAACCAGAAATTTCCCAGCCATCCATAAAACCTGCAGTGGGGTTTTGCCTTGTGATCTGTATGTGGGATGCTTGCAGCCCAGAGGGCTTTGTCAGACAGATGTTGTGGCTGGGGGTGAGTCTGATGGCTCCAGTGTTACATCAGGCCAGGAGTACTGCTGGATTCCCAGAGCTCCTGTTTTTCTCCCACCAGTTAGGCCATGAGCGTTTTCAGGAGAACTTGCCTTCTCAGAGGTGTGTCAGAAAAGCCAGCCCAGTCCCTGAGAGCACACATGCCTCCTGTGGGCAGTCGTGTCCCCCAAACCACGCAGCAGGCTGGCAATCAGCTGCCCTGGGGTCTCCATGTTTGCAACGCTGAGTTCTGCCCGGTCTCACACTGTCCTTTCGTTTCGCAGGCTGGCTCATTACTCACAGCTCCACGACGTGCAGACCCTGGCCATGCTCTGCAGCGTGTTTGAAGCCCAGTCCAGGCTGCAGGGGTGCCCCAACTCCTACGGCCCCTTTCCTCAGCGTGCCTCCAACCTGGCCTCCCACAGCCGATACGTACGCTCACCGTTTCTTTCACGTTTATCTTGAACACCTTCGAACATCTCTCGTGCAGATGACATGATTTCTTCTCCTTTCTCCCTCGACAGCCCAGCTTTACTTCCTCTGGCTCCTGTTCCAGCATGTCAGACCCTGGAATTGGCACCGGAGGCTGGAACATAGGTACGAGACCTGGGCAGTAAATAAAGGAGTCTCCCTCCCTTCTGGCTGAGGTTTTAGATGCTCCTGTGGTGGGGAAAGGAGGGAGTACTGGCTGTGATTGCAGGTGTGCTCTGCCAGAGCAGCTCTGTGGGGTTTGGCCAACATGGTGTGATTCGATGGCTGGAACTGAGCAGGACTTTGCAGTATCTGTGTCGAGGTTCCTGCAGTTCTGCACCTTCTGACTTCAGTAGATACTGTCTGACTGCTCTTTGGAGAAGGCTGTTACTCATGCCAACTGCTCCTGCTAATTTCCTTGTCCTTCATGTGCCTGGACATGGTTCCCAGCATTAGCTGCTCCATCACCTCCCCAGGGATCGAGCTCAGGCTGACTGGCCTGCAGTTCCCTGGGTCCTCCTTCTTGTCCTTTTTGAAGGCAGGAGTGGCATTTGCCATCCTCCAACCCTGAGGCACCTCTCCCAGTCACCACAGTCATTCAGTGAGTATTGAGAGAGCCCTTGAAATGTCATCAGCCAGCTAATTCCACAGGGTCCAGGGCAAAAAGCAATGCTGTGCTTTCTCCTGTCACTGGAAAAAACAGCAGCAGTTGGCAAGACTGGGTTTTTGGTGCCATGAATATCTGAGCTGCAAAGGTGACAAAGACCACTCCTAAGGGCTCCCATGTCAGAGCTGAAGCTGCTGGCTAATTCCTAGCGATGTACACGGCCTGGGGCAGCACCAGCCCTGTCAGCACCAAAGCTGTGAGTTTTCAGTGTGCCATCAAGGCATCTGTGACATGGGGAAGAGGGGAGGATGGGGGTTAGCGGAGCAGACGTGTCCTTGTAGCAGTTATTAGCAGTCATCTCCTTGCCCCGGGGCAGGGCCTTGCGTACAGAGGCCCCTTTACGTAACAGCAGTCCTGGTGATGAGAGTCCTCCCTCTCTAGGAAAGAGGAGCCCAGCTCTGCCAGGGATAGCATTCCCAAGCAAACTCCATGGCATTGGTTGCCTGGTTACTTTTTGTCTAAAGCCCAAGGCAAAGGGGATCCCTCTACGTTAGATTTCTCTGCCTGGTGATCCCCGTGCCCGTCCCGTCACCAGAAGTGCAGTAGAAGCACTTGGCGAGTAGAGGCTGGCACTTGGTTCTCAGAGGCAGGGCAGTGTTTGTGGGAATGGTGCAACCTGTCAGAGAGAAACCCGTGGGGGTGCAGACCTGTGGGGCTCCCCTGTCCCTTCCTGGGGCTGGTTGTGACGAGGCTCACAGGCTCTTGGTGCTTGCAGCAAACAAAGACACGGAGCAGGCCTCCACTCCCTGGTGCGAGTCTTCCCCGGATGACTTCCGCTACGGAAACCTGATGTATCCTGACCATCGGGAGCGGGAGAAAGACCAGCATGAGAAAAACAAGAGGTAGGTTGCTGTGCGCCTCGGGTTGTTCAGGGAAGTGTGACCCCTGGGACTCCATCCCCAGGTCTCTGGTGCTGTGCAGTACCACCCCTGCCCCTAGACCTTGTCATCCACGTAGTCACTCAGAGAAGCTTCATCCTGCAGATCGGCACTGCTGGGATTACACATGATACATCCCTAAGTGGCTGTGGCCCCGGAGGGCAGTCCACCCACGGATTCTGCACCGTGGAGCGCAGAACAAGTGGAGGCCAGGGCAGTTCTTAGAGCTCAGCAGTGTTGCAGGTGGCACGTGGGAAGTGCTGCGTCGATGGCGACGTGAGCGGCTTGCACAGCCATCACTGGAAAGAGCCTTGCAACCAGAGCCTCTGAGAGGCAGCCAGTCACCAGCCTGTTTGCTCCTCTAGGCTGCTGGATCCTGCCAACACTCAGCAGTTCGATGACTTTAAGAAGTGCTACGGGGAAATCCTTTATCGCTGGGGCCTGCGGGAGAAGCGGGCGGAGGTGCTGAAGTTTGTGTCGTGTCCCCCTGATCCCCACAAAGGAATTGGTGAGTGGCTGCTCCAGTTGCCCAGGCAGGAGCTTAGGAACATGCAGTCTGCAGGGTGGGATGTGCCACAGACTGACTGGACAAAATTTATCTGAGAGACCCATCCAGGGGAGTCACGAGGGTTTAAAATGATTGTACAGGTGTGATTGAACCTTGGCATGAATCGTTCCAAAGGGTTAGTAATGGCAAACCAAATATTTAATATGAATAAAATATGAAGGGTTTATTGAAATTGATGATAATAACGATAATGATTGGACTAAAAAGGCTTTAATCAGAATTATTTACTGCACAGTATAGAAAGTTAAAATGACTAATATAGGGCACTGGTTATTAAATCAGTAATATCAAAGCTAGCATAGTAATTATCATGTAGACATTGATGTTACTCACTCGTAGCAGTGGCCATGGGCAAATCTCTCTCACTCCTTGAGGAGTGACCTTCAGGGGTGTCCCCACCCAAGGGAAGGATCTCCATACACACCTAAGGGAGGTGTGTTAGAACTTCCCACCATTTAAAAGTGGGACTGGTCTTTCGTAGCATGAAGTGATTGACTGTCAGTCCTACAATTTTAGATACAATGTCATCCTGCCTGCTCAGCAGAATGTGCTTTATTTTTGATTAAGATGCTCTCAGCTCTTTGGTTTCTTCCTCTATAAACATCTACCTCTCCCTTCCCTACCAGGGCTTCCCTATCCCTGTTGATGCCAGCTTTGGGGGGGAAGCATCTGTCTTACCTATCTGCGTGATGGGTCTAATTTGAGGTAGTTTGATCAAGCTGGTTTCAGCATCCTTCAGCACTAAAAACAGCAGGACCCCCCCTGCTCAATCCATCACCAATAGCTTGCAAATAAGGCGAAATCCAAGGTGGTTTCCTCCTGCTGATGCAGAGCATCCTGCTACACGGATGGAGAGTGTCCACTGGTCACTGAAATGTCACTGAAATTGTGGCATTTAACCTCTGACAGAGGTTAGCTCTGCCACTAAATGTGTCTGACTTCCTCCCTGCTCTGGGTGGAGATGAGGCTTGCAGGTGTTGGTTCAGGGGCTGTGACATCTCTCCAGCAAAGCTGGAAATGCACACACTGCCACACCAGCAGTGCTCAGCTCTGTGCTGATGGATGTCCTTTATTCCCTCTGAGTAAAAGCTCAGACACACCCTGACCTCGCTGATTCTGGGTTGGAGTGTCCTTATGTTAAAACTGCAAGATCTCTGAGTGGGTGAGCTAGTCAAGAAATAGGCAAAGAGAACTTTTCTCCCAGAATATTCTCCGCAGTGTAGATACCCAGCCTATGCACAGCTGCCAGAACGCCTTCCCAGACCCCTGGGGACAGATGTGCTTAACCTGTGGGGAGAGAAGCAGGTGAGGGATGCCAGAGAAACAGCAGTTGCCTCACCTTGTCACCCAGAATGACTCTTGGAGAGTAACTGGAGTGAAAATTGCTGCTTGTTGCCTCTCCATGGCTGACAGGGCACTGTGCAGGCATCAGGTGCCTTGGGTACGCTCTGGGCCCTCTCTCTGTGATGAGAAATAGAGGCTGTTCTTGTTTGGTTGACAGCAGTGGTGAGAGGCAGATGAGACCAGAGGAAGCCTTCATGTGTCAGTGTCTCCCAAGGTAGAAACCCAACAGCCATTCCCAGCAGGCAGCTGTAGCTGTCAGGGGGATTAGTGGGCCAGTTGGTGCCCTGACGCTCCTATTGCCCCGTTCCTTGATCAAACCAAGATCTCCAGATCTGCTGGGGGAGCTTTGGGGCAGATCTCCTGGGCAGCGTTCAGGGAGCTCATCTGCTGAGCGGGGGGGGCCGTTCGTGGGGCTGCTGTGTCCGTGGTTCCGCACTAACTGTCCACACTAACTCTGCCTTCCCTCCCTCCCTCCCTCCCGGCAGAGTTCGGCGTGTACTGCAGCCACTGCCGCAGCGAGGTGCGCGGCACCCAGTGCGCCATCTGCAAGGGCTTCACCTTCCAGTGTGCCATCTGCCACGTGGCCGTGCGCGGCTCCTCCAACTTCTGCCTGACCTGCGGCCACGGGGGCCACACCAGCCACATGATGGAGTGGTTCCGCACGCAGGAGGTGTGTCCCACGGGCTGCGGGTGCCACTGCCTGCTCGAGAGCACCTTCTGAGCAGGGAGGGGGACGGCATCCCTGGAACGGAGTCCATTCCCCAGCCCTGCTCCGCGGTGTCCGGAGGGGATCGGCACGAGGAGCTGGAGGAGGACGTCCTGCGCCGTGGTGATGTTTACGAGTGCTTCCAGCGCTCCTGCACTTCCCAGGTCGCTTCCAGGCTGATTGGACTGAACTCCCCGTGTCCATTGCTGGCGATGGATGCCAGACCAGAAGAACTGCTCTCTCCTGCAGAGGGGTGTGTTGGAAGTTGGTTCGTTTGGGATGAGGGGGTGTTTGAAAGCTCCCCTGGAAAGAGCCCACCTGGCAGAGCCAAACTCGCTCCAGTGATGTGGTGTCTTTCCAGGTGCCTCCTTACAGGGGCTCAAAGAGAGCAGAGCAGTTGTTTGATACACTGAAGGCAGAAATAATTCTCAAGCAACAGTGAGCTGTAAATGAAGAGCAAATAGTCTGTGAGACTGTGCTCAGAGTTACTTCTGGAAGCAGCAGGGCCCTTATTTTGAATGGCTGTTTACATCACTTGAGATTTCCCCATAAAGCAAGGGAAGGAAATGGCGTTTTTCAGCATTACTTCTTAAATAGCTTCCTGCTCACTGGTCAGTACCTGTGGCTGGTGCAGAAACCCCGAGGTCCCCGGGGTCAGTTGATTCCAGCAGTTTCAGTACTGCTAGGCTTTAAGGTGTCTCCATCTCGTGCTCTGACCAGGTGATACAATGCACTTTAACCTGTCCCTGCCTTGTTGCTGACACTTCCTGGTGACTGGGAAAGGCACCTGCCTTTGAGTATGGGATCCACTTTGTCTTTCCATAGATGGTGGCATATTGGAAAGCCTTTGCTTCCTCACTGAGAAAACACAAGGACACTTGTTCCACGTTCCATGTTGCTTTTGGCTGTTGTCTCCAAGCTCTGCGAGGAAAATTATGGATAATTTGAGATGTGCTGCTGCTGTGCTTGAGTGATGAGGCTCCTGAGCCAGGGAGGCTGCAGTTTCTAGGGAAGAAGGGGTTTTTCTCCCTGTGGAGCTTCAATTGGAGAATGTATGGAGATCTGTGTGTTGGGGCCATTGGGCACTCTCAGCCCAGGCTGCTGTGGGGTGAGTGCACACCCAGAGTGCACAGGCTGTGCCTCTCTGGGCTGGGCTCAGCCTGAGCTTTGGGTTTGGGTGAATGTGTGGTCAGGGGTGAGCCCCCTGGGGCTGTTCCCCCCCGTGCCAGCGCTGCTCCCTTCCTCCCGTGCTTGCCTGCTGAGCGGGGCCCCCTGCCATGCCTGCTCCCAACCCCTGTGGGATCCTGCTGTGGAATAAACAGATGTGTATCCTAAACACTTAAAACATTAAAATTATTTTTTTAAGTGCTGTTCTGATAGAACTTGGTGTTGCTCTGCTGGTTCTCCCTCCGTGGGGAGCCCCCAGGAGCTCTCCCTCCCAGCGTGGTGATGTGTGTCCCACCCATGGCCCTCTCCTTGCGCCCCAAACCAGGGGGCTCAGTAGCTGGGAGGCTGCTGTGTGCCCCAGCCCTGCCTGGGACGATGTGCTGGCACGTGGCACAACAGCCTGGGAACTGCCTGGGAACCGCCTGCAGTTGAGGCTCCTCCTGGGACAGCGAAGCTGGGCAGGATCTGAGCTGTGGGTGAGCAGAACCCCTCATCCTGCAGGCTGGGGAGGCCCCAGGCAGCGTCTGCCCCCGAGTGAAGCACTGAGGTCCTGCCCGGCGCCGTGGCAGCCCTGGGGCCAGGCTGCTCCGTGCCAGGAGCTGCAGGGAGAGGGCTCCCACCCTCCTCCTTCCTACGTGACAGCCATTCAGCTCACAAGTATTTTCATTTCCATGCTTGAGTGCTCCCTGAGCTTGGAAGGGAAAGGAGGCTTGTTATTTAAAGGTGCTGGACCGGCAAATCGCGGTATTTAGTGTGTTATTACAGTCCATTACGGTCCATCTCCATAGCACGGGAACAGCCCTGAGGAGCAGGGCCGGCACTTCAGAGGAAGGAGGAAAAGCCTTGCCCTGGCTGTTTGTGCAGCCCTGCACAGATAGGTGGAATTTCTTCCCGGATGCTGCAGGCAGTTCTCTCACACCCTGCAGCATGGCTGGTGGTTGTTTTGGGAGCAGTCTCACTCGATGCAGGAGTGACTATTGCAATGAAACAGGAATGACGTATTCCCACCTGCCTGGAGCCGGGCAAAGAGAAAAACATTGATGTCTTTGCTGTGCTGTGCAGCAGTAAATGGTCAGAAATGGGGTGTGCTGGTGCCCCACCACAGTCCCTCCTGCACTGCCCCCCAGCTGCTTGTCCCTGATCCCACCTGCTGTTTGCAATAACTTGGGAAAGAACAACAAGTTCGCCAGTGTGGCCAGATCTCACTCTGAATTTCAGGCTTCAGGGAAGGGAGAGGAGGCAGGCACTGCTCAGGCGGCGAATCCTGGCACGGAGTGTGCGCCAGGCCAGCTCTGGGGACGCTGCCATGCTCGGGCCAGGTGAATCAAAAAGAGCCTCCAGCGGATGGACAGTGCCAAGGGCTGCGGTCCCTGCAGGACAGGGGTGACCCATGCGTGGTTTGTGCGGGCGCAGGAGCGAGGGGGCACCCGGTGATTGAACTGCCCGCTTGGCACGAGGCGGGAGCGAGCTCCTCACGCGCTGCGTGGGACGGGTGTCAAACCGCTTCCCTCGGGGCATCTCCGGTGCCAAGGGTTTGCCAAGGCTCCAGGAGCGGCTGGACACTGCTGGGGAAGGGAACTGCACCCCGGTGCAGAGAGCCCTGCCCGTGTGAGCCCAGCCAGCAGCTCCCTGCAGAGATGCCCACGCGCCCCGCAGCTGCTCTGGCACCTTCCTGGCCCAGTGCAGGGGAGGGTGGTGGGTGCGTGAGACCTTTGGTCCGACCCTGAGCAGCTGCTTGCCGAAACTTGCTTCAGCTGCCTGCCAAGTGCATCCCAAGGGCTGTTACCTGTGGATCCATGCTGGCTTTCCCAAGGGCTGAGCTGCAAGAGAGAGAGAAAGCTCCCACGACAGCCCACGGGGCGCCCTCAAGGCCACCATCAGCTTTTTAAACCCTTTGTGTTCTCCTTCTAAGGGTATAACGAGCATGGTGTGCCTTCTCTGTCCCCACTGAGGCTTTCCATGTGCGGAGAAGGAAGTTTAATCCCTGATGATCAGAGTTTGGCAGAGAAATGAGGAGTTACAATAGCAGAGAGGCAAAACCTTTCCCCATGGACACAGCACCCTGCAGTGTCTGTACTGGCCTCCTCCTCCTCAGTGGCCACAGCCCCATTATCCCATCATCAGCCCCTCCAGCACTGCAGGGCCTGATACTGCCCAAAGCCAGAGGCACATTCCTGCTGTCTGCCTTGTGCCAGCCCCAGCGTCTGTCTGGTGGGTAAACCAGTTCAGGAACTGATGAGCCAAAGCCATTTGGCTGCTCTCATTTCAGCTGCTCTCTGATCAGCAGCGACTGCACTCCCTGGTGCCGCCTGTCCCGAGGGGCAGGCCATTGGCACAGCCCTCTTCTGCCCATTTGGAGCTGTTGTGGCGGTGTCTGCTGTACGGCTCGATGCCAGCACCATCCCTGTCGCCAGTGCCACCCCTGCTCAGTGCGTCCCTCTGCTTCCCCACCCTCACCACCCACCCTGGGGACACCCCTGTCCCTTGCATGGGGGAACAGAGCCCCTCCAGGAAGCCCAGGAGCTGTTGGCAGACGGGCTGTCAGCTCTCAGCAGGCTGGCTGATGTGTCCTAGCCCTGCTGCAGCACAGCCAGGGACCACAATCCCCCATGTGCTCAGGAGAGCATGGCAGGGGAGACCCAGAGGTGCAGCCGGCAGCTTTGCCCCCCGTGGGCTGGCAAAGGCTGGACCCATCTCTGCCATGAACTGTGGCTGCACGTGGTGCCCAAGGGACCTGGACATTCCAAAACCCAAGGTAGGGCTGGGCTGCAAGGGCAAGACCAGCTGGTGGGGACTGTGGTGGGGTCATGGGCGAAGTCCTCTCCATCTCCCCCAGCACCCCACGAAGGGATAGAGGCCGTTACACCTGCCCTGAGCATACCTGGGGTCTGTGCCCACCTGGTTTGGGGGGTGGGTGCAATGGCCTCTGACGAGAATCATGGCACGTTTGGGTCTTCCTCTGCCTCTCACCTTGCCCTCCCACTCACCCCAAAATCCTTTATCACCACCCTGCTGCCCCAAAGGTCAGCACCAGACTCAGCTCACCCACCAGGACTGGGGCCACCATGGAGGGTATTGGGGACCCCCCCTAGGAGAGCGGGATATCCCATCCCAGCACTTCCTTTGGGAACTCCCAGCAGCCTCTCAGGACTCCTCCACCCTCCGGCCCTTCCACCCAGCCCCCAAAGGATGTTTTTGACCACCAGCCCAAAAACTCCTCCGAGGGACCCCCCTGGGTACCCTGCAGCAACCCCAGCCAGGAGCATGCCCACCCCAAAGCCCTCTGCTCCCATCGGGGTGCAGAATCGACCTGACCCCCCCAACAGAGGACTTTTCCCTGAGCAGATGGCAGGGCCGTTCCGGGAGAGCCGGGCGGGAATGTGGAGCCGGCGCCGACCGCCACAGCAGGTTTTGCATCCGCCTTGATTAAAGGCCTCCCTGCACACCCGGCTGTGCCTGCCAGCACCCCACAGCACCCCAAAGCCGGGGGGCTGGGGTGGTGTGATGACCCACCCTTGCAGGTGGGGCCGGGGGGGCTCCCCATTCTTGGAATGGCAAACCCCACCTTAATCACCGGTTGCAGCCCGGTGTGGTCGGCAACGCCAACGTTTGCTGGCTCGTGGCCAGCCCCTGTGGTCAAGGGTGTCACCCCAAAGCTGCACCCCCACTTCAGAGGGAAGGTTTTTCAACAAATTGTGGGAAAGCTCCTTTCTTGTCATTCTCTGTGATTTCTTTGGGTGGTCTGGGACTGCTTCATGCCCTGCCCCACCAGTTAATTACAAATTTGATCAAATATTGAAATAAATCTGCAAACAGACGGAGGGGAGGATGTAGTTCCTGGTGGCAAGTGATGAGGGGGTGGGTTGGCATGC